TCAAATTACGTGCCCGGCCAGCCCACTGGTCACAAGAGCCTGAGAGCCACGTGGAGCAGACCAGGTCTGCAGTGTGAAGCAGAGCCGCCCCAGCCGCCCTACGGAGCCAGGAGGCTCAACGTTATTGGTTTAAGCCACCGGGTTTGGGGCTGTTTGTTACACAGCCCTGGTGCCCGATACTAGCTGATACACTTGAAGGATCACAGAGCTGGCAGGGGCGGGATTCGAGTTTGGGCAGGCTGGCTCCCACTCCTCTGAAGCAGCACTTCTCAGACTCTGATGTATGTCCTGGTCACCTGAAGCCCTTGTTGGGAGGTAGATTGGGAGGTCTGCTACAGGGTGGGTCCGAGATTGCCTCTCTCCCATGAGCAAACTCCTGTTTGCCCCCTCCCTCACTTAAAATGGTTCCCAGCAAACTTTTTCATCTTTGCCAATGAAAGTTGAAAAATTCCATCATGTTTTTTTTTTCTTTTCTTGAGACAGAGTCTCACTCTGTGGCTCAGGCTAGAGTGCTGTAGCATCAGCCTAGCTCACAGCAACCTCAAACTCTTGGGCTTAAGTGATCCTCCTGCCTCAGCCTCCCAAGTAGGTGGGACTACAGGCATGTGCCACCATACCCAGCTAACTTTTTTTTTTTTAGTAGCGATGGGGTCTCGCTCTTGCTCAGGCTGGTCTCGAACTCCTGAGCTCAAGTGATCCTCCTGCCTCGGCCTCCCAGAGTGCTAGGATTACAGGCATGAGCCACCGCGCCCAGCCCCCCATTCTCATCCCTGAGCTTATACATTTATCTCTTGCAACTTTTCAAAGAAACAGCTGGGCCTTATCTATCCACTTTACAAAGCTGGGGTTTTGCCTCTTGGTTGGTGGCTTTGGGATGTATCCCGGGTTACTAATTTGTTCATTCCCTCTTATTTTTGTTCACTTTCGCTGTCAACCCGATGCTGGTTTACTTCAAGCAGCCTCAAGGACAAGGTGCTGGTTAGTGGACGAGATCAGGGGAGAAGACAAAGGAAGGCTGGAGAGTGCGGCTCCCCGAGAACCAGGCTGGCACGGGCTCTGCCCCCGGGGGCATCTCCGATCTCCAACCACCAAATCCTAAACGTTTCCGGGCCGCGTGGGGAGCCTTGGTCCAAAATCAGACATAGCACAACTGAAAGAGGAAGGGTAATGGGGTCAGGGGGAACTCATCCTGACAATCCTAGGATCCCCAGTGGCAAAATCTGGGATTTCACCAGAAAGGAGGAGGGACCTCAACTCTGGGTGAACAGAGGAGTCAAATCCCCGACATCCACCCTCCAGAAACAATGTGACAGTCCCCCACAGACCAGAGATTCTGCTGGTCGGGGGCCAGGACACCCCAGATGTTCTTCTTTCACCTTACCCCTGAGTCCTAAAAAGGCCGTCTCTGAAGGCCTCAGTTTCCCTGCCTGTAAAATGGGGGCTCCAGTCCCCACTGAAGTTCCGTGACCCTTTCAGCTCCATCTGGAGGTGAAGAAACAGGCTCAGAGAGGTGAAGGGATTTGTCCAAGCTCACACAGCAGTGGGGCTGAGCCTGGGAGAACTTTCCATCCGGCACAGTCAGGGAAGCTCTCTCTCCACTTCCATGTTTACTGTAACCGGGAGCAACACAGGCCAGTGGGGGGCTCCTCAGGGCAAAGCCCCCTCCCCGTGCTGGGCCTCACCTGTGCCTCCTCCCCTGGCTAGCATCCAGCAGAGATTCGCCATGCCCTTCCAGCTCTGCCAAGCAGGCCCAAAGACAGGTGTGAGTCAGCAGAGAATGGGTCAGCAGATGCCAGAGTCCCGGCAGCTCCTGTGGCCAGCCACAAAGCTTCAGTTCTCTCCACAGATGCCAGCCCACTTTGTGGTCTCTTCTCCCTGGGAGCCTTCCCAGATCGGCCCCACCAAGCTCCTGTGTCTGTAGCAAATCTCTCCCCCAAATCTCCCATCTATCTGATACCCCCATGTCCCTCCAGAATGAGGGTGTCCTCAACCTTCTGTGTCTCCCCAGCACCTGTAGAAGTCAATGCATACCAGCAAAACGGATAGGGACAGCAATGGTGGCCATGCCTGCTGGAGGGGGCACTGGGATATGCCCAGGATGGGGTGGGGGGCACACAGGGTTCCCTAAGATCCCCCAGCACAGCCTGGATCCAGGGCCCTGGCCCTGCTCACTCTCGTCTCCCTTCTGCCGCTGTCTGTGTCTCCCACTGGGTGGGAACCCCCACCTTGCTCAGCTCCGTGTCCCTCAGGCCAAACACCAGGAGGATGAATAAACGAACCTGCACAAGCCCTTGTACAGCCCGAGGAAGGGCCCCACACCATCCCCCAACTAGAGCACATTCTCAAAATCTGGGCCACAGATGGGGAAGTGGGAGCCCAGACAGGCGGGGGAGTTAGGTGAGACTCACACATCGGAATGACAGCGTGGGTCCGCGCAGTAAGGAGAGTGATGATAACCGCCAAGCACGGAGCACTGGGCTCCATAGTATCTGGCCAAGGACTTCTCCCTGGACCAGGACGGAGAAGGGAAGGGAGGAGCAGAGCCCCAGCACGGGTACTATCTGGGACTGTGAATTCAGGGACCCTCTGCTTTCAGATTGGCCTGGAATCCAGGCTCAGTCCTGCACCCACGAGCCAGCCACAGCCCAGCAAGGGAGAGTTCGCCTCCTGGAGAGCGAGCCCCACCTCTCAGGCCAGGGGCAGGGGGCGTCCTCCGCAGGGGCGGGGAGAAAGGGGCTGGTCCCCCTGGGGATAGAAGTTACTGTACTACCCACCAGCCATGGACCTGACCCAGATGCAGGCACTGCGGCCTCGGTGGCGGGCAACTGATCTCTCGGGGGCAGAAGTACTGTCACCACCGGCTGAAGGCAAGGGACAGGCCCCCCACGAGGCGAGGGGTGCTGCATTAGCCCCCTCCCAGCCAGGGACCTGGTCCAGACGGCGGTGCTGCAGCCTCAAGGAGGGCAAGTGACCCCCGGGAGCCAGAGGCGCTCTCCCCTGCCCCGGCCGGCCCCGCGCGGAGTCGCCAACCCTCACCCGGTCTCGTGGATGGCGTTGGTGAGGTTGGCCCAGGCCACGGCGTCGGGGTGGCGGCCGTCCACCAGGCGCAGCTGGCCGGTCGCGGCGTCCAGGAGCACCGAGCGGCTGCGGGAGCCGGGCGGGACCTGCCCGTCCCACGCCCGGCCGCCCCCCGGGGCCGGGATCGCGCCCGCCAGGCCGCTCAGGAACAGCCCGACCAGCAGGGCCAGCACCAGGGCCAGCGCCAGCGCCCGCGTCAGCGCCCGGGCCAGGCGGCCGCCCGGGCTGCCGTACATCGGGGCCACCATGACCGCGCGGAGCGGCGCGCTGCAGCCGGGTCACGTGACGGCGCCGGCCGCGGGGCGGGGGCGGGGCCTGCGCCTACCCTTCCGGGGTGGGCGGGGCCCGGTGTGACACGTAAGAGGCGGGGCCCACCTTAAAGGGCCCCGGCGCCCCCTTCCAGCTACGCAGACCCAGTTTAACGCACTTCCCCACCACGCCCACTTTTCGCTTTGCAAATTTTCAAACCTCGAGAAAGGCTGCAAGAATAGTGGAATAAATACTCACATACCCCTCCATCGGTTGCTAATATTTTGTCACATTGACTTAATGTCTCCGTATATATAATTTTGCTGAACTATTTGAGAGTTTATTGAAGACATTGTGACATGTCAAGCCTAAATCCTGCAGCATGTGTTTCCTAACAGCAAAGACATTATCCTGCATAATGACGATACCATGATAACACTCGGAACAGTATTCCACACTATTTTTTACCATTTATTTCATGGGATTATCTAATGTAGGGTTTTTATTCCAGTTTTTCCTATTGTCACCAAGTGCGCTTTTTTTCTTTTTTTAATCCAGGATCCATACCTCACACCAAGCACAAGAATAAACTCCTAATTGATCAGAATCTCAGTGTAGAACGTGAAACTATGCAGTACTAAAGGAAACATGAGTGAATTCCTTCATAACTTGCGTGTGGGAAAAGGCTGTCTCACCATGACTCAAAACCCAGATGCAATAAAAGATTAATGCATTTGATCACATACTTTTTTAAACTTGTGAATGTCAAAACACTCCATAAGCAAAGTCATAAGACAACTGATAAACTGGGATAAAAAAATTATAACATATATCACAGAAAAAGGGCTGAAACCTCTAGTATATGAAGAATTCTTAAAATTTGAAGAGGAAAATATGAAAACCAGATAGAAAAAAATGGACCAAAAACAGGAACAGACAATTCATGGCACAGGCTGGTCTCCAACTCCTGGGCTCAAGCGATCCTCCTGCCTCAGCCTCCTAAAGTGCTGGGATTACAGGCGCAAGCCACCGCGCCCGGCCCACAAAGTAGCTGTCCAACAGTTTGAAGGTGCCGTCCCCCCACTCTCTGTACCCTGGGTGAGCTGGGCCAGGGGGCATTGCAGTCCTCCCCGTCCATTGGAAAGGAATCTCTCCCCTGGTATTGTTAAAAGACAAAATTGCAACAAATATAGTTTGAAGATCCCAACTGGCGTTACTGTGATTCTAGAATCCTGCAACACTTCATTCCATAAAATACAGTAAGTATTCCAATGAGTTGAGCAGAGATTTATAGTCAGAAAAGGGGCCGAATAAGGCAGAAACAGAACGAAAAGCCGATTGGTCATTTCAGATTTACTTTCCTTGCAAGGCAGGGGACAGGCTATAGAAGCTAACTGACTTGTTAACATCAGGTTACTCTTTGATGTAAGGACTAAAACAGAGGGAGCTGCATTATCACACCCACTGAAGATTGCAGCTGGCCCGTTTGGGAAATTGGGCCGGTTATCTTTCTCCTCTAATCTCCCTGAATGCCAGATGACAACTCAGTTTCAATTTGCTGACATGGAAAACCTCAAAGTGGGTAACTCTCCATTTTGATTTTTAGTCTGGTCTGTCAGAGGCTAGTGCAGGAGCTTGATCCAAAACAACGGACTCCTGTAATTTTTATTAAACAGTGTTAATACCAGTCGTCACTGCCATTTGTTAATCACTTACTGTGAACACTTTCTATCACAAGACCCCAATAGCCACCCAAGAAGTTCCCACTATGGCTATCCCCATTTTACAGATGGGAGAACTGAGGCTGGAGCAGGCAAAACGACTCGTCTAGGTCACACAACTAGGGTCAGAACAAGGTTTTGAACTCGGTTTCTCAGCACGACGGATACCGCCCATTGTGGCCACCAGGGGGCGCACTCCCCATGAATGCCTAATCACGTTCCCACTCCAACCCTCCTACCCTCAGGGTCCTTGGACAAAGTGACGTCATCATTCTGTGTCTCAGTTTAGTCATCATCGAAAGGGCCTAGATGGCAGGGCTGCCAGGAAGGATTAAGCCCCTTGCACGGCCCCTGAAACTCAGTGGTACTCAGTCGGTGTTATTCATCGGCGTCGATGATGCCTTCTAGGCAGCCTGCATTCGTCCAAGGCTGCTGACGGAGAGTTCTGGGTGACACTTCTCCTTGGCATTCGGCTCACATGCCCACTGTGGACTGATAAACCGCCAAGCGGAAGCAAGGGCCATCGGCATTTTCATCAGCCAGACAGGGTAGGGCAATGGGTAGCGGCGCCAAAGTTGATTGTACAGATCGGATCATTCTTGTCACACCCAACCGCATCACAGTCAAGGGGCCGGGGGCGGGTGGGGGAAGCACTGGGGACACACAGCACCTGCTGCAAGTATTACATTTTCCACAAGCCCAGCTGGGGAAAGCGCCTGTCGGTCGTAACCTGAAACCAGTTTTCTCTGCAGCTGCTGAAATACCCTCCGCAACTCAGGAGCAGTTTCACCGCCGCTGTCACTCACCCAGAAGGGCTTCCAGCTCCCCAGACCTTCGCTAGTGCTGCTGTGCTTTCCGGAAAAACAAAACATAACATTTCGCCTTGTTATAAAGCCTCCAACTCTGTCTTTGTTCTTCAAGCACACCTAAGACCCTCCAGTCTGCGTGGATGCCAACATGGCCCTTCTTGCCTCCCACGCAAAACATCGTCTCCACATCTTTATTTTGCCTTTGACGGGAGCATGCAGTTGGAGATTCAGACAGGCTTGGGTTCAAATCCCAGCTCCATCATTTGCTGGCTGTGTGACCTTAGGAAAGTGATTTCCCCACTCTGAGCCTGGAAGAAATGGAAGCCTCTCTTGCTCACAGCTGCAGACAAAGTGCGGATTCACACCTAGGGGTCTTGGCCTGTCCACCTGCCCCTGGTCCCCGTCCAAGGCTCCCCCCATTCCAGCCAGTTTTTGAGGTCCCCGCCATCCAAGGCCACCAGCCAGGCTGAAAATCACCCAAAGGCTGCTCAGCGTTAGGTAGGGTCCCACTGCTGTGACAGCATTGCCCCAGTGTGTGGCCTTTGACCCCGGGCTGGAGTGCAGTGGTGCAACCATAGTTCCTTGTAACCTCGAACTCCTGGCCTCAAGTGATCCTCCCACCCCAGCCTCCCACAGTGCTGGGATTACAGGTGTGGGCCACCGCACCCAGCCCATTTATTCAATTTTTATTAATACAAATACCAGGCACTGTGCTATGGGTTCTTTACATATGTAATCCCATGAATCCTCACCACAGCCCAATGAGTGCCCTATAGGTGCTGTTTTTGTCCCCACTTTTTAGGTGAGGAAACAGAGACTCAAAAAGGTGAAATGACGCATCCAAGGTCAAATAGCCAATAAGTAGCAGAGCTGGGATTTGAATCTGAATCTGGATGTCTTCTGAGGCTGCCCCTAAGGATGTCAAAATGGCCTTTCCCAGCCTGGGAAATAGGCCTTAACCCTAAGCACCCCTGCCACCCCCCCAGAGCAACGGCGACCCAGGGCTGTCCCAGGCCCCTCCATCTCCCTTCTCTGCTCCAGGGGCTCCCCGCCCCCCAGATCTTTCTAGGATTCTCTCGACAGACACTCATACTCCCCCTCCCTCCATCTCCTGCTCCACCCGGGTCCCGGGACACAGGGAGGTGGTGACCTGCCTGCCCAGCTGACCTAGGATGGTGACATCTAGACGTCACCCTGGCTACCAGGGTCAGGCCCCTTAGGCAAGGAGCACTTGGCTTCAAACTCAGCAGTTCTGGAGCTACTTCCCCAGGCAGCAGATGACCCGGGAGCAGCTGACCCCGAGCAGGCCTGGGTCTTCCCACACAGACGCTAGCTGTGGGCGCCCCAGCGCTCACTGCCTGGACGTGGCGACCAGCTGGGCCTGCGCGCTGCTGCGAGGTGCTCCCAGCCCGTGGGGGACACAGGCACGTAAGTGAGTGCCCACGTTGCAGTAATAATGGAATAACAGGGACAACCATGGCTTCTGCTGAGGGAGTGTTTACTCAGCACCAGACATGGGGTTTGGGGCTTTTCACAGTGTCCCGTTTCATCTCACAAGGACCCCATGAGGTAGGCGCTATTGTCATTCCCATTTTACAGGAAAGGAAACTGAGGCTCGGCGTCTGTTTATAGAAGATCCTACAGAAACTCGATGTTTTGAGACCCCAAACATATCATCACGCTCCTGATGACAAGATCACCAGCCCCAGAGGTGGGAATTCGAGGCCTGCTCGGAAGGTGAGGAGCCCCCTGGCGCTGTGGAGGGGGCTGGGGGAGGGTGGAAGATCACCCGGAGGCCTGACAACGTGAGTGGGAGTTTGTCACGTGGGAAGGGAGGGGGCGGCACGGGGCAGGGGGCTCAGAGGAGCGGAGGCCTGCGGCTGTGTGGAAGGGCCCCAGGTGGAGCAGGTGGGGGTGGGAGGTGACGTCAGAGAGGCGTGCCCGGGCTGGACAGCCAAGGGCCACCAGTGCCAGCCGGGCTCCGAGCTGGGCCTCAGCCCCGCAGGTGATGAGAAAGCAGGCCCGACTTGGAGAGGGAGGGACAGTGGGATCCCATGCGTGCTAATGACAGAGGAGTGGCCTGGGAGGGGACACTTACCCGGCTCCCTGGCCCCCAGCTCCAGTGCCCGTGTCTGCCTCCCCACTCCCTAGCCCCAGCAGAAGGAAAGGCGGGATGACAAGCACTTCCCCAGAAGGCTGGGCAACTGGGGAGAGGGGGGTTATATCCCATCACTACCTCCCCAGTCCTGTCTTGTTTTGCCATATTCTTCTGTCATGTTTTTGAGACAGGGTCTCACTCTGTCACCCAGGTAGGAACTCCTGGGCTCAAGGGATCCTCCTGCCTCAGCCTCCTCAGTAGCTAGGACTACAGGCATGTGCCACCATGTCCGGCTAATTTTTTAGAGATGGAGATGAGGAGGGGTAGGGGAGGGTCTTGCTCTGTTGCCCAGGCTGGTCTGGAACTCCTGGCCTCAAGCCTCAGCCTCCCAAACGGCTGCAATTACAGGCGTGAGCCACTGTGCCCGGCCCATATTCTTTTAAAATCGTTACTACTAGAGGGGAATGCTGAACCCAGTTAGAACCTCACACGGAGGCATTTCAGGCAGGACAGACAATATTCGTGGATAGTGCGGGGCTTTCTCCACCTGGGGATCTTCTGGGCTACTCACCATTCATTACCGCAAGCAGTTTGGCACCCTCGTGCCCTCCCCACCGTCGGGAACTGAATCTCCCAGTTTCGCCTTCTAACTATCAGTCTCCCGCTTCCTGCCGTCCACTCACAGACAGGGGGACGGAAAGGAGGATGCAGAGCCTGGAAGAATCTCAGGCCCTGCCCGGGAGCCTGTGCCTTTAAGGGGAGGGGCGCGGCGAGCCGCGGGGGCGTGGCCGGAGGCGTGGCCGGGCGGGGCAAGCCGGGCGGGCGCAGGACGAGCAGGGACGAGCAGGGGCGCTGCAGCAGGCGGGGCGCCCGGCGGGCGGGGACCGGGAAGGCCGCGAGGCCCGGCTGAGTCGAGGTTCCGAGTTTGCGGGTCCCAGGCCCGGGCCGAGGTAAGAAGAGCCCCCGCCGCTGGAGGACCCGGGCGCCCCGGCTTCAACCCCTCAACACCCGTCCAGCCGGGAAACAGCACGGAGATGTTCCCGGGGACTCGTCCCTAGAAAGCGCAACCCGATTTCCCGCCCCGGCCCCTTCCTATGGGGTCTGCAGACCTTCCGAGCGTTTGGCACAGACATACAGGAGGCGTTCCGTAAATGCTCGCTCGTGAATAAGTAAAAGAATTTGACAGCTAGTAGAGAGGAGACGCATGCTGATCCTCACGTGTTGGGGACACTAGGGGCACGAGCGTTTATTGAGCTCTTACTGTATGCCCTCTTGGCCCCATTTGTGTCCATTTTACAGATGAGCAATCAGAGGCTCAAAGAGGTGAAGTGACCACCCCAAGGCTGCACAGATAGGAAGTGACTGAGACGAATAGGAAACTGGGAGTGTCAGGGTTCAGGTCTGGTGCCAAGCAGAGTAGCACCGACGGCACTTGAGTCCTTCAGAACCACGGAAAAGAGAAGGGCCCTGTCTTTGTGTCAGCAGGTGAGGAACCGCTGCTGGGACAGCCGCCCTTCTGCTCCTCCTGTCCTCCTCCTCCCCTCCCCTCAGGCTGCCAGGACGTTGAGAAATGTCTGTGCAAAGACTTACAGAAAAACAACGTTGTTTTATGGGCTTTAGTGTTCCCGGTTGCAAAAATAAAACCTTCTCATCGTAGAACATGTAAAAAAGCCAAAAGAAGAAACTCAGTTTGCCCAGGACTTTTATTTTCCCTTCAGTTTAATTTCTTTGGAAGAAATCGAAGCCATTTTTGCCCTGGTGTTGAGGGAAGAGGCAGTTGCTAGAGACCAGCCCAGCTCTGCTGCTAAGGGGCTGTGTGACTTTGAGCAATTCTCTTCCCCCTGGGCCTCAATTTCCCCATCGGAAGAGCCGTTGGCTTCATAACCTCTTTGCTGTGTGCCTTGGGCAGGTTACATGACTCCTCTGAGCCCCACTGTCTCCTCTATAGGGCGGGGACAACAAAATCTGCAGAATTATTCTGAGGACTGGATTAGGGAGGCGTGGTGCCATGTCTGAGGGGGAGGAAACAGGCCTGGGTCCACCTCACTGTGCCTCAGTTTGCTCTTCTGTAAAATGGGAATAATAATAGTAGTTTCCCCCCCCCAACTCCCAGCATGTTATGGGGATTAAGTGAGGTCAACCGCGTAAAGTGCTTGGTTTCTTGCAACACACAGAACAACAGCATTGCTTAGTAGGCTCCTTACAGCGTGCCAGGCTAGACTCTCTAGGCCTCGAACTGGTGGCCCAGAGGCCAGGCCCACCCCTAGGGGTGTGTTTTCTTTGTTTTGAAAGGCCTTGCCCAGTCCTCACTACTGCCCGCTTCCCATATTTATCTCACCCATCTGGCCCCAGAGGCAGGAGTCTCTGAATCCGATCTGAAGTCCTTCGTCCCTTCCAGCCCTGACGTCCTGGTCTCGGGCTGGGGCGCGTCTCATGTGCGTGCTGAGCGAGCGGAGCCCTGGCTCCCCCCACGTGACTCCACGCAGAATGTGTTTCCACATCAGCTCTCCTTTGCTGGGGGAGGAGGGAGGGCAGTTCCTCAGCTGAAAAATTTTTCAGCCCCCTCTTGCCGGGTCTGGGGTCTTCAGTGACACTGTCCCCGCTTCTCAGCTCTACCCTGCAGGTCACTGGAGCCGCCAGCCGTTTGCAACTGAACTACTGCAGAAGGGGAAGTGGACAGTGAGGCCCAGGCCCCGTGGGGGCCGATGGCCGGCAGATGGCTGCATCTGTGCCGGGTGCAGGGTTTGCTCTGTGTGCCGCTGATGGTGGAGACAGTGTCTGGGGCCAGGGGCCTGTCTACAGGGGCCCACATTAGCCCCCAGTTCCCAGCCTTAGGTGTGAACCAGACCCCCGTAAAAGACGTGAGTATCCAGGCAGGAAGCCGGGGTTGGGTGGGGCTGTATGCCTCCAAATGACAACCGTTTATTGAGCATCTAGTATGTGCCAGGCACTGGCTGAACCCTGGGATTGACCAGGGTACAATATAGACAAAAATCACTGCTCCCAGGGAGCTCCTTGTCTCCTGGGCAGACAGATAAAGAGGTAAACATGAATTTCAGGCGGTGGTGTGCTAAGTGTGCTGAAAACAATAGATAAAATGATATGGGGGGAGGGTGTGAGCATTTCTAACTGTTTCAGATTGGGTGATCACACAGGTGGCTTCTGTGAGGAAGTGATCTTTGAGCCAAGGGCCTGAATGGAGAGAGGAAGCCACCTACGGAGACATCTGGGGGATGTGCATTCTGGGCAAAGGGAACAGCAAGTGCAAAGGCCCTGAGGCAGGAGCAAGCTTAGTGTGTTCCCGGAACAGCATGGCTGGAACAGGGGATTTGAAGGGAAGACCGTTAACAGAGGAAGATGGCCAGATTACAAAAGGCTTTATAGGATGAGGCGAGGAGGTGAGAATTGTTTTATGACAGTGGGAAGCTGGTGGAGGTTTTCAAGCAGAGGAATGTCAAAATCTGATCTCTCTGGCTGCTCTGGGGAGAATGGATTGAGAGGGGAGAGGGTGGTGGCAGGGAGGCCAGTGGGGAGGCTCCAGCAGCCACCCAGGTGAGCGATGGTAGGTGTGGGAGATGGGAAAGAAGAAGTGGGATTTGCATAGAGATTGGAGGCACGGTGAGCAGGACATACTAAGGGAGGGGTATAGTGGCGGGACAAGGAGAGGAGTCACAGATGGCGCCAGGTTTCTGGGCTGAGCGGCCGAGGGTCTGGTGTTGCTGCGACTTGAGTGGGAAGCACAGAGGGCGGGGTGTCGAGCACACTGGGGTCAGAGGCACGGAGGCTTCCTCCCAGGCCAGGGAGGGTATGGGCCCCGCAGACAGGTGACAGGGAGCCTGTATCACTCCATGTTGATGTCTGTAAAGGGGGGAGAGGTCACAGCGGACCCAGAGTGAAAGAATGAAGGCAGAGGACTGCCCGAGATGACCCCCAGAGGCCACTCCGGCTGCAAGAGGCTGGAGTTCTCGCCACGTGTTTTCTTTGGCGGGGACCCAAACTCAGACTGACAGGCCGAGAGCGTTTAGGGCCCACACCAACTTTATGAGACTACATAGTGCCTTCATGTGCACGCTCTGAGGCAGGCAAACAGGCAGTTAAGCCCATTTTACAGATGGGAAAGTAGTTTGTGGTTTGTGCAATTATAAAATCGAGTGCTGACTCTTGGGGCGTGCTCCTTGGGGGCGGGAAAACTGGGTGGTCTGTGGCTTGTGCCAGATAATCTCTCCGGCTCATCGAGCACTTAGGTCAGCGCTGTGCCCAACTCGCCAAATCCCCCCCCAGACCCTGGAGGCGGCTGTGATGATCTCTGTGCTATAGACGAGGACGCCGAGGTTCAGGGAGGTGAAGGTGGCAGAGCCAGAGTGTGAGCTCGTGACTGCCTCGGGCTGAATCCTCTCCCCTCCACCCCACCACCTCCCCGGACAGACAGGGCGGCCACCCTTCTGGAAGTTCCCCACCGTCCAGGGAGCCTGCAGGCTGGGAAAGGCCTTTGTGAGTCGTGGGTCATTCAGCAAGGGTTTATTGAGCACCTACTGTGTGCCAGGACCAGTGCCATGGCTGGGGCTCCAGCAGGGAGCAGGTAGACGGTCCCTGCCCTCCTGGAGCTTCCACTCTAGCGGGGGACATGGACGAGAAGCAGGTCAGCAGATAAATTCACAGGATAATTCCACTTGGCGGAGAATAACACGGAAAGCAGAACAGGGGGAAGGGAAGACGAGAGATGAGGAGGGGGCAGCTGCCTTGCCTCAGGCTGCTGGCGAAGGCCTCTCGGAGGAGGTGACATTTTGACTGAGACCTGAGAGGCTTATGAAGGGATCTGCCTGGGGACTTTTTTGTGACGCAGCAGGAATAGGACCTGCGAAGCCGCCCGGTGCCCAGCGCCCTTCAGCCGGGCTGGGCCAGATGTGGCCTCAGCGGACCTGGGACAGGCCCAGCATCAGACCACCAGGGCACAGAGTTTCAAGGGGACTCCTTTTGGGAAAGAGGAGACTCTAGATAAAAAAGTCCTTCTTAGGACGGATGTGACAAGCGTGTTACGTGGTCGAAAAAGGCTGGACCTTTGGGGCTGACCCTGGGAGGGCGGAGGGGCCAAAACAGTAGGTGCAGGGAGCGCAGTTGTCCCTTCTGGAAAAGGGGGTAATCACAGCTAATTCTGCTGAGCGCTGACTGTGTACCAAGCACTCTTCTAAGCACATGAGTTAACTTATTCGGTCCCTCGTCTCGGCTCAGCACCACAGCCCACAGCCCACAGCTCAGATTCAGTGACTGCTGGCTTTTGTGCAGCCAGGAGCTAAGAATGGTTTTTATATTTTCAAATGATTGCGTGGTAGGCCGGGCGCGGTGGCTCACGCCTGTAATCCTAGCTCTCTGGGAGGCCGAGGCGGGCGGATTGTTCGAGCTCAGGAGTTCGAGACCAGCCTGAGCAAGAGCAAGACCCTGTCTCTACTAAAATTAGAAAGAAATTAATTGGACAACTAAAAATATATAGAAAAAATTAGCCGGGCATGGTGGCGCATGCCTGTAGTCCCAGCTACTCGGGAGGCTGAGGCAGGAGGATCGCTTGAGCCCAGGAGTTTGAGGTTGCTGTGAGCTAGGCTGACGCCACGGCACTCTAGCCCGGGCAACACAGTGAGACTCTGTCTCAAAAAAAAAAAAAAAATGATTGGGGGGGGAAAAAAAGAACGTTATTTCATGACACATGAAAATCATATGAAATTCAAATTTCAGTGGCCAAAAATACAGTTCTATTGGGACACAGCCCATTCGTCTGTGCATTGTGGGCGGTTGCTTTCTCACACTACAGTAAGAGTCGAGTGGCCCACGGTGGACAATATATATTTGGCCTTTTATAGAAAGAGTTTGCCAACCCCTGCCTCATTTTGCAGAGGAGGAAGCTAGAGCACAGAGAAGTTAAGTGATTTGTCCAAAGTCACACGGCTGTAAAGTGGGGAACCAGGCTTTGAACCCAGTCAGCATGCTTCAGAGCCCTGGGCTCATAACCACTGTGCCACCCGGCCTTGCTGAGCAGCTGCCACAAGACCGAGGGGCCTTTGGGAGATGCCGGTTAGTTTTCTGCTCCTGGGTTGGCATCCTGGTGGCAGACATGCAATCCTCCCCATCCAGCGTCGGCGCCTTTGAAAACCTGCACCCTTCAGGTCTGGCTGCAGGCAGCAACATTTGGGGAGGGGCCTCTGGATTAGAAAAGCCCGAGCCTTTGTTGACGGGTGTAACTAACAGAACGGAAAAGTTTTGAGCGTGTTCCGTTGATGTCCTAGTTGTGTCGTTGTGTGGCTTCTTCATGGCGTCAGTGTGGACTTCGGTAGTCTGTGTTCCTGTATTAGAGTGCATGAGAGGTGACCAAACATATGTGGCCCCAAGGTGACAGTGGCCAGTCAGGTTTGATAAAGACCATGCTAAAGATGAGGAAATCAAGGCCCAGAGACGTCAAGCAGCTTGCTGAACGTCACACCGTAATCCGGCGGCAATATTCGCTCAGCCGTCCCTGTCCCCCACGCCGGTCCTGCCGGCACAGGGTTGAAAGTTGGCGGCCCGGGGCCGAATCAGGTGCATGGACTTGTCTGGCTGCTGTGGTTTCTTTTCTTTTTTTGCAGCGTGGAGGGGTTGTTTTTTGCTTTATGACGTGAATGCCTTTCGCAGAGCCTGCACCTGCCAGTGCACCGCAGTTCCCAGCAGCCTCTGTGGTTTTAGACGTTTGTGTGACCTGCCAGGCCCCCAAGGCTGAGTTTGCAACCCTCTCCTGTCCGGCCGGGGGGCTTTTCCGGTTTTCTTGGGCGGGGTTTGTTGCTTCGGGAGGGGGGTTGGGAGGGGCCGGGGGGGGGGGGGAAAGTTCCCCCCCCCGGCTTTTGGGGACCCCCCCTTAACGCCACCACGCCTGGGCGGAGAGCTGAGGACGGGTCCTGGGGGACCCCGGGGGAGGGATGTCCGGCTGGGGGCGGGGACGTGGCAGGCTGCGCTGGAATATGATTCTGAGGCCAGATTTGGGGAGCCGCCCTGCTGACTCACTCTGCTGTCACAGAGATGGAGCCACCGGGAGGGCAGGAAGTCGGGAAGAGGACAGGAAGAGGCGGGTGCCTCTGCCCACTGGGCAGTTCCCCCAGGAGCTTCAGCTAGTGACTTTCAGGCAGTGCTGACTCTGAAACCACCTAGCCGTGGTCGGCTGTGTGCCCTTGGGCAAGTCACTTTGCCTCTCTGTGCCTCCCTTTTCTCATCTGTGAAGTGGAAACAATTGTGCCAACCCCCTAGTTCCCTTGTGATGACAAGTGAATGAGATGATGCCCAGTACAGTGTGTGGCGAAACAGGGACGAGGACCTGCTATGTGCCAGGCACCATGCGAGACTTTCGTGGGGGGCGGGGGGCAGATGTTAAACAATCCTATGACCCTGCAGACAACTGGGTGATTTCAAAACGTGGTCAGTGCTTAGAAGGAGAAGACTTGGGGTGACGAGAGCTTATAACAACTGGGGGTTGCAGCCTAGGCTGGGAGTAGTCAGGGAGGGCTGCCTGGAGGAGGCATCTTGGGAACTAAGAATTAGCAGATGAATGTGGATTAGCTGGGGGGTGGGGGAAGGAGTGGTGAACCAGCAGCAACAGCACATGCAGAAGGCGGACCAAGGCCGGGAGGGTCTGGGCAATGCGGGACCTGACAGCCGACCAGACCAGCTTGCCTGGACTCTGACGAGGGCAGAGGACAGCAGGGACAAAAGGGGGCAAAGGAGGGCTCTTCAACAGCTGGAGGAGGGACATTTTTAAAAGAACCTTCTGGTAAGATTGGAGGTGGGGAGGCCAGACGGGAACCTCCGCAGTTGTTCTCTGTACTGACGCAAATGGAAGGAAGGGATGAATTCAAGTATTTAAGAGATAAAAATTAAAAACTTGGATGATAATATGGCCGCTGATATTTACTGAACACCTACTAGGTGCTGATGCTGCTACGTGAGCTCCATCTTCCTCATCCCGTCCTTATCCATGGCATGTGGGTGTCATCGTCCCCACTGCTCAGAGGATAAAACTGAGGTTAATTTACTTGCCCAAGGTCACCTGCCTAGAAGGACTAAGGCTAGGTTCCAGCCTAATTTTAAGCAGTTTCATTATCGAGAGCTCAGTGCGGGGAGCTGTTCTGCACCCCAGTACTATTATTGTTGCTTCTGTTCTCTGCAGAAGAGGAAGTGGTTGTAGGCAGCCTACCTCGTTCCCTGGGTCCCCATCCAGCGTCCTCCCTTCGTGGCTGGGTCCCCGCTCTCTGTCAGAAAGCCCTGGGGTGACCTTATCTCCCCGGGAAATTGCTGAGCCCCAGCAGAGCCGCAGGCCTGGGCTTGGGGCCAGGCTAAACCACCTCCTTTCCCAGTAGGAGGGAGCCCAGCCTGACTTAGGGTTTTGGGTGGGAGCTGGGGGCTGGGGAGGCATGAGGGGGTCTCAGAGCAGAAATCTGGGACGTTCGTCTGCATTTTCTTGGTGGGAATAGTTGCTGGAAATTCCCAGGCCTGAGGTGCAAACTTTTTCTGTAAAAGGCCAGATAGTGAGCGCTTTTGGCTCTGTGGGCCACACGGTCTCTGCAGCTGATCACTCTGTCACCGAAGCAGCCACAGACAGTACATAAATGAATGGGCGTGGCTGTGCCCCAGTGAGTAATTACGGGTCTTTGAATTGTATACGATTTTATGTCTCATGAAATAGTCTTCCTTTGATGGATGTTTTCCAACCACTTAAAACTGTAAAAATTATCTTGGCTTGCAGGCTGTGCAAAACCAGGTGGCGGGCTGGATTTGGCCCCAGGGCCAAAGCTTACCCATCTGTTAAATGGGAATCATTTCCTTTACCTTGCAAGAGTGTCGTAAAGGCTGAACAAAAGCATTTCGTCATCCAGGCAGTCGTTAACACACATGCATTGAGCCCCTACTAGGGGCCGGGCTCAGGGCAAATGCAAAGAAATGCAGACAAAAAAAAAAATTCAGTAAGCAAGGAAATGAACAGAATAATTACCGGTTGTGATAACTGCTGCGAAGGTAGAAGAGTGGGTAGTATGATAAAAAGCAGTGGGAGGGGGGGAATAAGTACTTTCTGGGGAGTGTCTCTGAGGAGGAAGGTTTGAACACCTGTAATCTCGTTTGTTTCCTTCATCAGTGGGGTTGGTATAATTATTCCCATTTTACAGATGGGGAAACTGAGGCTCAAAGAAGGGAAATAAATTGCTATAGATGTAGCTATAGATGTATCCTCCTGCCTCAGCCTCCTGAGTGGCTGGGACTACAGGTGCACGCCACCCCATCTGGCTAATTTTTTAATTTTTTGTAGAGTCAGGGGTCTTACTGTATTGCCCAGGCTCGTCTTGAACTCCTGGCCTCAAGTAACCCTCCCACCTTGCCCTCCCAAAGTGCTGGGATTACAGGCATGAGGTATGAAGCTGGCCTCCTCCAACTTTTCGTTCAAAAGCTTTGTCAGTACTACCTCACACCCTTTAGGATGGCCACAATCAAAAATAAACAGCAAAAACAAACAGGCTGGGTGCCATGGCCTGTAATTCTAGCACTCTGGGAGGCCGAGGCGGGAGGATCGCGTGAGCCCAGGAGTTTGAGGTTGCCGTGCTAGGCTGACCTAGTGAGTGCCACGGCACTCACTCTAGCCCAGGCAACAGAGTGAGACTGTCTCAAACAAAACAAAACAAAACAAAACAAAAACAAACAAACCAGACTAGGATACCTTCTGACTCAGCACTTTTCACTTCTAGAATTCTCTCTGGCGAAATATTCTCACATGTTTCCAGAGAGTCATGTGTAAGGAAGTTTGTTGTTGGTTATATCGAAAAATTAGACACACGCAAACACCTACGCATAGGGAGATGGTGGCCTCAGTTATATATCAGTCAGAGTATGAAATATTCCGCTGCTGCTAAAGACTTGTAGTGAGGCTGGGAGTGTGGCGGGGCTCTGGAGCCTGGAACTGCCTGGGTTCCAGCCCTCACTTTCCCATTGCGTGGACACTGGGACATTGTCTCAATCTCCTTATCTGTATAATGGGCACAGTAATAGTACCTTCCTCACAGGATTGATGTGCAGAATAATTGATATACATTTTGAGCTCCTAGCGCTGTGCCTGGCATATAAAAATCACTCAGTATGTTTTGATTTATGTTATATGTATTAATGTATATTATATGTATATATGTTAAGTAGTAAAAGCAAATTGCAAAAACAGGAGATTTAGGATGGACCCATTTCTGTGAAACAAAACTGTATAATAGGGCATGCATACAAATGTAATTGAACCGAGAAATGTCTGTAAGGATGTGCTTCAAACTGATTATGGTGGGACCGCTGGGGAGAGGTGGGATTAGGGAGGGTAGGGATGAGAAGGGGGGAATTTAGAGATCTTTATATATATATTTTTAAAAAACAAACCTGTATTCATGAGCTACTTGTGTTAAGTTCAAATACAAGTTTATTTTTAAAAATGAAAGTGCACAGTTGGTACCAGGAGGGCATGGGGGGCTCGGAGACCAGGCTGAAGGGAGGTGATGTTCAGCTGCTTAGACGGGCCTGGTCCAGTCACCCTCGGGAGCCCCGCCCCTGACGTGTCCCACGTCCCTTCCTGCAGTGTCGCGACGTGTGTGGCCTGAATGCCTCTGAGCGCTGCAGCTTCATCCGGACCAACCCCGACTGCCGCAGCGGAGGGGGCTACTTGGACTACCTGGAAGGCATCTTCTGCCACTTCCCTCCCTCCCTCCTCCCTCTGGCCGTCACCCTCTATGTGAGGCCCTGCCCCGGGGACGTGGTGACAGGGGCTGGTGGCCCCGGCTGGATTTAACTCCACCGTCTCTCCCTGGCTCCCCCACACAGGTTTTCTGGCTGTTTTACCTGTTTCTGATTCTGGGCGTCACCGCGGCGAAGTTGTGAGTCTGGCCTTGGGCTCGGGTCCAGCTTATAGACGGGAACACTGAGTCCGAGGAGGCTGACATCTGTGAGCCTGGGTCGGGGGACGGATTCGGCAGGGGCCGGTCCCTGGGGGACGCTTACCATCTGCTTTTCTCCCTAGTTTCTGCCCCAACTTGTCGGCCATTTCCACCACCCTCAAGCTGTCCCACAACGTGGCAGTATCCTTCCGTCCCGGCGCCGCCCCTGGTGGGGGACAGTGGGGGAGGCTGGGATGGGGGTGGCTCCTGGCCCAGGAAAGGCCCGGAAGGGCTATGGCCGCTGCACTGGCCCCTCCTTGACGTGCTGTCCCCATGGTGTCACCTTCCTGGCCTTTGGGAACGGCGCACCCGATATCTTCAGTGCCCTGGTGGCTTTCTCGGACCCACGCACAGCCGGCCTGGCCCTCGGGGCGCTGTTTGGTGAGAGCAGCCCCGGCTGGGTGGGGTGGGTGGCAGGATGGGGGCGTGGGGGCGGCTGAGCTCTGGCACCCTCTCCCCAGGTGCGGGCGTGCTGGTGACCACGGTGGTGGCCGGAGGCATCGCCACCCTGCACCCCTTCACGGCTGCCTCTAGGCCCTTCCTCAGGGACATCGTTTTCTACATGGTGGCCGTGTTCCTGACCTTCACCGTGCTCTTCCGAGGCAGGGTCACGCTGGCGTGGGCCCTGGGTGAGCGGCTGCGGGGCTCGGTGGGGGCACCAGGGCTGACAGGCGGGAGAGACGTGAACAGTGGCCCGTGGTGGGGGGTTGATTTGATGCTAAATGGCAGAAACCCGACTCACGCCGGCTTGAGCGAAAAAGCGAACATGGTTCAGGGCAGAGCCAGGGGCGGGGCAGGTGGTGGTGGTCAGAGCGTCACGATTTCCAGTTTTAACAAGCAGTGCGGCGGGGATGCCGACCCGGGCCACCAGGGTTCTGGCAGCAAACGCGGCCCATTCAGATGGCGCAAGGGGTACGAATGGAGGGACAGTCGCACAGAGGAATGAGGAAACCAGTGAGGGACACTGAGATGCTGATACACAGGAACCCGTAACCATGGGAGCTGTCAGCACCCGGAACCCCATGGTGCAGGGGCACGGGGTGCTGGAGCCCCGTGCGGGGGGGAGGCCTGGAGCCAGTGGCCAGTGTGAGCTACGGTCCCGGAGGGTCACAGAGACGCGGACCCGTAGCACTGGAGCAAGGGCTGGAGACCGCTCTGTGCGCCCGGCTTTACTTCTGTGATGGCAGGAAGACGGCAGGAAGATGGCCCTGGAAGGCAAGGGCAGGACCGTGGGGGCTCCGGGGGATGGCGTTGACCTTCTGGTCCTGGGCTGGGCCACCACGCGCCAGGGACGGAACTGCCCGCCCTCGCTCTCTGGGCCTGCAGCCGGGACGCCACTCGGTGACGGCCTGCGCCCCGTCTGCAGGTTACCTGGGCTTGTATGCGTTCTATGTGGTCACTGTGATTCTCTGCACCTGGGTCTACCGATGGCAGCGGAGAAGATCTCTGGGCTACTCGGTGCCGGGGACCCCGGGTAAGGCTCTGTAGGAAGCCCCCAAGACAGGACCTGTGGGGACTGAGCACCTCTGTGCCCTTCGTACTCCCTCGTGGCTCCTGAGGCCACTGCCACTGTCCCCACCAAGCCTACCTCCTCTTCACGCCTCCCCACGCGTTCCACCACGGCCCCGCATCCCTCCACGCTGTGCCTGGGGCTTCCTCGTACCTGTGTGTCCACGTCCACTGTCTTCCCAGGGTGTTGCCAGGGCCGTGTGCCTGAGAATTGTCACACGCCTTCATGTTTCCCACCGCCCTCGGGGTAAAATCCAGACATGTTCATGTACACAAATACATGTACACACACATATGCAAATATTTATACAACACACATGCACAAATGCACAGCACTCACACATACACCAATACATGCAACACGCACACATATACAAATACATACACAACATACATAAATACACATATACATATAAATACACATACAAACACCACACGTGTGCACACATAGATGTATTAATTGTGTGTTTACTCCCTGCTGGGTACACGTATCATGTTACTCATTCCTCTCAGTACCACTCCTTTGAGGGAGGGGCTATTACTGTCCCCATTTTATGGATGAGGAAACAGGCTCAGGGAGATCAAGGCCAGAGAGCCGGGGAGGGGCAGAGCTAGGACTCTGACCCTGGGTCCCAAACCTAGACCCCAGGCCACTCCCCTACCTACAGTGCCAGAGGTCACAATTGCTACAAACCATTCTGTCATTAATTTGTTTATATGTCTGTCTAGTAGCCTGTGAGTTTCCTGGAGGGCAGGACTATATCTCATTTCCTCTCATATCCCCAGGGCCCTGGCATAGAGCAGGGGCTGGTGACTCCTCTTCCAGGAAGTCTGCCATGATTTTTCTTCCTCTCTCTTCTTTGGCAACCAAGCTTTCAGAGTTCAGCACACATCACCCCTGTGCTGTCTTCTAGACCCATCATAGCTCATTAGGCTGGAATGAAACAGGAAAAGAGAGGCCCAGGATCGTGGAGACAGAATTAGGGCTAGAAATGACTCCTCACTCAAGGAAGACATTTTCCTTTTAGGCCACTCTTTTTTTTTTTTTTTTTTTGAGACAGAGTCTCGCTGTGTCACCCTGGGTAGACTGCAGTGGTGTCATCACAGCTCACTGCAACTTCCAACTCCTGGGCTCGAGCAATCCTCCTGCCTCAGCCTCCCGAGTAGCTGGGACTATAGGTATGCCATGATGCCTGGCTAATTTTTGTATTTTTTACAGAGACAGGGTCTCACTCTTGCTCAGGCTGGTCTCGAACCCCTGAGCTTAAGCAATCCTCCCATCTCAGCCTCCCAGAGTGCTGGGATCACAGGTGTGAGCCACCGCGCCCGGCCTAGGCCACTTTTCCTGGGCCCCAGGCCTATAAACATTCCAGAGGACCCCTGCGAAGAGTTTCCGACTGCAACAGAACAATAGGATGGGCTTCAAATTCTGAAAAGTACACCGAAGTCAAATGTTCGAATTATGTCTTCAAACGCCCTTATTAAATGTAGCATTATAGCTGCATCCTTACGTTGAAAACATTTGGCGGGGTGGACTTTCTCACTGTGTAAGGATTCCCGAGCATGCGTGGGGATGGCTGCGAAATCCAAAGTGTAGAGGCGTGGACCCCTGCACCCTTAAACTGCCCTGTCCGGGGGTGCCCTCCCTCAGAACAGCTTTGGGGGGATCTGGACCCTCTAGCTGGGCCTCTCTCCTGCAGAGGTCCTCTCGGATTCCGAGGAGGACCGGGCGTCTTCTAACACCAACAGCTATGACTACGGTGAGTGCAGGCCCTGTGCCCAGCCTGGAGGGCGGTGCCAGGGAAAGGGGTTTCCTGGAGACTGAGGCAGCCACGGACACACCTCCCCACCCTCCACCCCTGCACACAGGGGATGAATACCGGCCGCTGTTGTACCAGGAGACCACGGCCGAGATCCTGGCCCACGCCCTCAACCCCCTGGATCTCAGGAAGTGGAGAAGCAAGTCCGCGTACTGGAGGGCCCTCAAGGTGTTCAAGGTAGGGGGGCCTGGAGCCAGGCTCGCGGCTTCATGACAGCGGCCACACAGCGGCCGTGCGACCTTCTGCAGCTCGATGAGCGGGAGGGCCCGGCGACAGCTGAGACCTGCTCAGAATAGGTGACCGGGGACTTGACGGGGAAAGCGAGTCGTAGAGCTTGGCTAATGGCCTCACCGGGGGCTCTGCCCGCCATGGAGGAAGGAGAGTGTCTGCCTGGGCACAGAGACGCAGGAGGAGGGGACCACTCCAGGTGGGGTAAGGGTGGGCGGCTGGGGCTGGGGCGAGGGAGCGGGTTGAAGTGAGAAGATTGAGTTTTTCTGATCACTTGCCACTTCCCTGGGCGCAGAAGTCTAGACCTGAGCAGGAGCACCCGGGCTGGTTGACGTGAGATACGGCTATGGCCTCCTTCCACGACCCCGGCCTCACACCCCTTATAAGCTCTTCCTGGAGACAACCTGGAAACTTCCAATGTGTATATATTTCAGGGTTCCTCAGTCCCAGGGGGCAACAAATAATGGACTATATCTGCACCCCACAGTGGTTCTGGCTGTGTCTTGACCTTGGGCAAATCACTCTCTGAGCCTCAGTTTCCTCTACCGTAAGGGGATAACGATACAGTGCCTCTCACCTGGAGTGGTTCTGTTAGTAAGTTACTGCCGCAATAATGCCGCGTAACAAATAGCCTCTGAATCTCAGTGATTTACGATGACAGTATTTTTTTCATATTCATGGGCCTATGGGTCGGCAGCAGTGATTCCACTTCAAACTGTTGTCAGTTGTCCCAGTCTGCCCCTTCTCTAATTGGGGGGTCAACGGGGTACCCAGGGCGTGTTTTGTCCTTGGTGGAAGAGGACAAGGCAAATCGCACAAGCACGTTCAAAGCCTGTGTTCACGTCACACTCGCCAACAGCCCCTTGGCCAAAGCTGTTTACTTGGCCAAGCCCAACATCGGTGGGACAGACAAACATCATCTGCCAAAGTGATTCTGTTACAGGAAGGGGCTGAATGAAGAGTTGGGAACAGTGAGAATTTAATGGATATTGGCTAAAAACCGAGATGTGGAGTTAGAGCTGGATTTGTATCCCAGCTGCATGTCCCCTTCTGTGTGGCTTTGGACAACTTCCTTAACCTCTCTGGGCCTCTGTTTCTGTATAGTCACAGGGTTGGTGTCAGGATTAGCATATGAGGTGCTATGGTTGGGTGAATCATTCCCCCCAAGACATCCATATCTGAACCCCCCGAACATACGAATATGTCACCTCACATGGCAAAAGGCTTTGCAGGTGATTAGGGGGAGGCGGGAGAATATCTTGGATTACGCAGTGGGCCCAGTGTCATCATAAGGGTCCTCGCAGGGTCAGAGGGAGGCAGGAGGGTCAGAGAGTGAGACGTGGGGACAGAAGCACAGGTCAGAATGACGTGGGGCCAGGACCCGAGGAATGCAGGCGGCCCTGGAGGCTGGAAAAGGCCAGGAAACTAAATCTGCCCTCGAGCTTCCAGAAGGAACGACCCTGCCGACACCCTGACAGTAGGACGTGTGCCCTCCAGAACTGTGGCAGAACACGCCTCTAGCGTGTGCTCGTGTGTTCCAGAGCCGTGGGAGGCTCCCTCAGGCGCTCGGCCTGGGGCCTTCACTCAGTCGCGCTTTCGCGCCAGCAGCCTCGGTCGTGAGTCACTGAGGTCACCGGCGTGTGGCCAGCCGGGACTCAGGCCTCCGCGCCCACAGCCTCCCTCCTTGGCCCACCCGACAGTTGCCCGTGGAGTTCCTGCTGCTCCTCACCGTCCCCGTCGTGGACCCGGACAGGGACGACCGGAACTGGAAACGGCCCCTCAACTGCCTGCACCTGGTCGTCAGCCCCCTGGTCCTCGTCCTGACCCTGCAGTCGGGGGTCTGTGAGTGTCCCCTCCCCCTCCCCACGTTCTGGAGTTTTCTTCCCACCCACACCAGGGGGTCCGGCGGCAGAATCCTGGACATACAGCAGGTGCTTAATATGTGTCGCTCCAGCCTGGGTGACAGAGTGAGACCCCATCTTAAAAAAAAGCAAACCACTGAGCTCACGTCCTCAGTGCCCCCTGCTCGCCAGCACCTCCCAGAACGCGTCCGGCACAGGCCCGGCTAATACAGAGCGAGGGCGTCTTGCCCAGGCGGCCGGTCCCGAAGCCGGCGCCGTAGGTAGAAATCACAGTATTTAAAAAAAAATCGCATTCTGTCAAAATTGCCCCCTGAGAGGAACGAAAGGAAGGTCTCTATGCCCGTCTCTGGGCACTCGAACATTCCTCACCTTTAAGACTAGTATCGACTCTCTAGTGGTGAAAAGGGTGTGTAGGGGATTCTAGAGCATTCTTCCTGCCTGTAGGGTTCCTCCCGTTAGTGGCTTCATAGGAAGGCTCTGGAACCTTCGTGACTTGTTAATGGATTGGATGGAGGAGTGGACTTACCAAGGCAGCAGGAGCTGGGCACCTGTCTGTGGGTACGGTTGGGTTTGCCCGTCGCCGGAAGTTCATCTCAGGGGCGATGCGCATCCATCCATTGGTGGTGCCTGGCTGGAGGCTCCGCTGGCCTGAGGCATGTGGTTGATTAGTGATGTCTGCCGAGGAGGAGGGCGAGGGGAATGGCGGCGAGTAAGTCTTAGCCATTCCCATCCCAGTTCACAAGAAAGGTCTGCAGAGAGTTTTTTGGGTGTCTGTCTTTTCTTTCACATGTGACAAGCTTGAGGGCAGGGCGTGTGTTTTTAATTTTTTTCTCCTCCTGAAGCCCCTTAGACAGGGCTGGGCACACAGCAGGTATTTACCTTATAGCCAAACAGCGCATTGCGAGTGGGCTTTGTGTGCAGGTCTCAGCTCCCAGGCACCTCAGTCATTCTGGGGGGGCATCCAGGAGGAGGTGCCGGGCTGAAGCTGGGACAGTGCCAGCTCCCTTTCTGGTCCCGCTGCAGATGGCGTCTATGAGATCGGTGGCCTCCTTCCCGTCTGGGCCGTGGTGGTGATCGCAGGCACGGCCTTGGCTTCGGTGACCTTCTTCGCCACATCCAACCGCAAGCCCCCCAGGCTTCACTGGGTGAGCGTCCTGCGCCCCCGAGCTGGGGGTGGGGGGTGGGGAGCCTGAGCTCTCCCGGGCGGACGTCCCCTCCGCACCTCTGGGGCAGATTGACCATCCCCACGATGACAGGTTACCTGAAACTTTAAGGCCACCTTTGAGGGTTTTTGTATCTGTTCAGGGTTCTTTTTTTTTTTTTTTTTTTTTTGGTAATTTATTGAGATGTAAGATGTGATTCACATACCACGCAATCCACCCATTTAAAGTGTACAATTCGGTGCTTTTTATTATATTCACAGAGTTGCGCCACCATCACTACAATCAATTATAGAGCATTTCGCATCCCAAAAGAGAAACCTCATGGCCATTGGTGTCACTCCCCACTTCCCTCCCCGACCCCGCGCCCTGGCAGCCTCGACTCTACTCTCTGTCTCTGCGGGTTTGCCCATCACGGACGTTTCATGTAAATGGAATCATACGACACATGGCTGTTGTGACTGGTTTCTTTCACTTAGCATGATGTCTTCACGGCTCATCCATGTCATAGCGTGTGTCAGGGCATCGTCCCTTTCTGTGGCTGAATACTGTTCCACGTGTGGCTAGGACACGTTGTGCTCAGCCATTCGTCTGTGGATGGACGTTGGTTTGTTTCCACTTTTTGGCTACTCTGGATAATGCTGCTGTGAACATTTGTATAAAAATTCTTGTGTGGAACTGCGCTTGCTTTCATTTCTCTTGGGTACTTTACTAGAAGTAGAATTGCTCAGTCAAATAGTAACTGTGTGTTTAACCTTTTGAGGAACGAGTGGCCTGTTTTCTGTCACACTGATGAGGGAGCATCGGAGTTTTTAAGGATGACAATCTTGGTGTGTTTTTCTATTCTCTCTAGTCTGCATACTCTAAGGAATTCTTAGGTAGCGTGTCCAGAGGCTTTTCCTTCAAAAGTTCACTTAAATTTTTCATTTCTTAATACTTATTGATAATTATTTTTTTATTTTTAGAGACTCCGAATGAATGTACCAACCCAAAGGGGGTTGAATCTTCAGCAAATTGATCATTTAGGGAGGTGGTCTTTTATTATTTCGGGAAAATTGTCTTTTATTATTGATTGATTGATTAACAGAGTCTCACTCTGTTGCCCGGGCTTGAGTGTAGTAGCATCATCACAGCTCGCTGCAACTTCAAACTCCTGGGCTCAAGCGATCCTCCTGCCTCGGCCTCCCGAGTAGCTGGGACTACAGGTGCTCACTCTTGCTCAGGTTGGTCTTGAACTGCTGGCCTTAAGCAGTTCTCCAGCCTCAGCCTCCCAGACTGCTAAGATTACAGGCATGAGCCACTGTGCCCGGCGAATTTTTTTATTTTTTGAAGCACCAATATATGCTACAACATGGATGAACCTTGAAAACGTTATGCTAAAAGAAGACAGTAGCAAAAGAGCACATGTTGTATAATTCCACTTGTATCAAATGATATAATGAGCCCATAATGAGCAAGTCCATGGAGACAGCCAGTAGAGGTTGCTAGAGCTGGGGGGTGCGGACATGGGGAGTGACTGCTGATGGGTACAGGGTTACTTTTCGGGGCGATGGGCAGTATTTGGCTCAGAGACTGGAAATCTGACAAAAGCTATGATGAACTCTTCCTTTCCCAACAAAGTGATAAAATTGAACTAACGTTTTATTGAGTAGTTACTATATGCGGGCACTAGTTGTATATATTATAGAAATTCATTTTGTGCTCATAAGAACCTCATGAGGTAGATCCTGTCATGATCCCATTTTACAGGTGAGGAGCTGAGGCCGTGTCCCTGCTGGGAGCTGCCCTTGGTCCTATCACATACCATTCCCTCCGCAGCTCTTTGCTTTCCTGGGCTTCCTGACCAGCGCCCTGTGGATCAACGCGGCTGCCACAGAGGTCGTGAACATCTTGCGGTCCCTGGGCGTGGTCTTCCGGCTGAGCAACACTGTCCTGGGGCTCACACTGCTGGCCTGGGGGAACAGCATCGGAGGTGAGTCAGGGCTGGGTGGGGTTCTGGGGTGAATGTGGCCATATCGGAGTTCTTTGCTCCCCCAGCCAGAGTTACCTCTGAGCAGGGGTGTGCAGGGTGTCCGCCCTTAGCACGTGCTTGGTGTCCACTGTCATTTTGGAGTGACCATCATTGGGCTTCGGGGTGAGATGGCTTAGACTGCAACTAGACCGGGAAACTCTACAGAGGCCCCTGCCTCTTCCCTGCTCTCTGATGTGGGGATATTCCGTGGCTCCCCAGAGTTCAGGCAGGACATGGAGTCCATTGCAGCCAACCGTGCATGCTTGATGTATATATGGGTATGTGACATGCGCAGGCATTCATACGTATACCCTTCTCTAGCTGCAGCAGCCAGGTAAGGTTGGCCAGGCTGTGTACTGCACAAGAGCATCCAGACAAGGGGGGAGGTGGGGCTAAAATCTAGCCCTCTCTCTACTGACCTTGGGGTAGCTTTTCCTAACTCACACCGAGGTGCTGTGCGTGCTAGCAGCAGGTGGGACTTGGGTGAAAAGTTGGTAGCGGCATGTCATACTATACCCACAAAGTTGTTCCTGGTGGGAAAGAGTGGGGTAAAAGGAATGAAGGAGGGAGCCGTGTCTTACCGGATGCCGTGGCCTTCCACGGCACCTCGGTGTTCGCTGCCTGAATCGCCGTGGGTGAGTACGAAGGTGCGAATGACCAAGGGGGGCCTGGGGAAGCTACTCACCACTCAGGGCCCCCTCTCGTTTCCATGCAGATGTCTTCTCAGATTTCACACTGGCTCGCCAGGGCTACCCGCGGATGGCATTCTCGGCCTGTTTCGGTGGCATCATCTTCAGTATCCTTTGTGGGGCCAACCACAGCCCCAGCCCTGGCTCTGGGAGCCGGGGGTCCCCACCCTCTGGGATTGGTTCTTGGTGTGACACTTTGGGCGGGTGTCGTGGCTGCCGGAGCCTCAGGCTCCTCATCTGTAAAATGGGGATATCGAGAGCACTGACCACATAGGGTTGTTGTAAGGATCCAGTAAGCTGAACGGAAATCTTGGCACCTGGTGAGCGCCTAGGGGATGCAGCTATTATTATTGCCAGGGCGGTGGTGTTATCGGCAGATGCCCACATGGTGAGCTTAGGTGCCCTATGGAAGACCCTCTTTCTCTCACTTATACGGACGTGTCTATGTCAGGGGTTGGCAAACTTTTTCTTAAAAGGCCAGACAGTGAATATTTTAGACTCTGTGAGTTATGTAATCTCTTTTGCAACTACTTAAAACTCTGCTGTTGTAGTGCAAACACAGGCATAGACAATTCATAAACGAATGGGTGTGGCTCTGTTCCAATAAAACTTTATTTATAAAAGCAGGTAGTGAGCCAGATTTGGCCAGAGGGCTGTTGTTTGCCAACCCCTCGTCTATAGTAGGAAGGGCAGGTACAGCCAGGGTGCTGCGAAGAAGAAAGGGCTTTGAAACCAGATGGGCGTAGGTTCCAGCCCTAGCTCCGCCGCCACCACATGCCGGCTGCGTGGCCTGAGGGCTTTGTGCACATGCCACACTCTCTGAACCTCAGCCGTCTCCTCTGTAAATTACACATGGCGGGGGGGAGATGGAAGGTGAGGTAAAGCAGCCAGACGGTGCCCGGCACGTGGCAGACATTCAACAAACAGCGGATGTTGCTGGTTGCTAAGTAAAGTCACATCGTCACAAAGCACCTGACGGGTGGCTCCCTCCAGGCTGCACAACGACCGGGCCTCAGGGTGAGCGGGTCCCAGGCTGAGCGGGTCCCTTGGTGGCCCTTTTATGCCCACCGAGACCTGCTCCTGGCTTGTGGGCGTGGCCTCTGCTGACCTCTCGGGTTGGGTGGGAAGGAGGGAGCCCCGAATGACCCCTCGAGATGGCCTTGCTCGTGCTCCATCACCTGCGAACTCACAGGACTGTGGGCAGTCACCTCACCTGGCCTCAGTTTCTCCACCTACTGAGTGCTTGCAGGCGCTAGGCATTTCTGGTACCTTCTCCAATCCTTGCAGACTGAGAGCGGAATGTACACTCGACACCCACCTTTTTAGAGGCACCCAAACCGATAGGGTCTCAGACAGGAGCAGCAGGGGGAGTTGGGCATAGATCGTAAAGAAAGCCGAGTTCCTTCTTGCTGTGGGGTCCCCAGCCCCCGGGTTGCAGCCAGTAGGAGGAGGGACGGGCCGTGTGGTTGGCTCTCGGGCAGACCGTCCAGCGGAGCTTCCTGAGCTGGCTGCAGACATCCTCGTGGGCGTGGGGCTGGGCTGCCTGCTCCAGATCTCCCGGAGCCACGTGGACGTGAAGGTGAGTGGCCGGACAGCTCTGCAGGGGGCCTCGGTGTAGCGCCATCCTCCTCAGCCCTCTGGCCCCAGAGAGCGTCCACATCCCAGCAGATTATACTTCCTGGGGAAGAGGACCCGGAGAGACCCCCTGCCCCACGTGTTTCCTGGCGCTGGGGTCTGGGAATCTGCATTTTGAACACGCCCCAGGGCCCATGCGGGTAATACAAGGACTGCGTTCGAGGAACTGTTCTTGACAAGAGGGTCGAAAACTCAAACACCTAGGGCCGGGTAGGTAACAGAAATGTGTAGGTGACCCAGGCGGGCCTCATGTGGCCAGAGAGTCCAGGTTTTCTAGAGAAGAAGTCAAGATTCCTAGTTTTTCTGTTTAAAAATACTGCACAGGGTGAACAAAACCCTGTGCAAGGCAGGGTGGGGGCCCCAGCCACAGGGTGGCAGTTCCCCAAACGGTTGGAGGAGCAGGTTCTCTTTCCTGCTGCTTCTGAGCCTGGAAACTTCTGGGGCCACACCTGGGTCACCTCAGGGCGGGGCCTGCCGTCCACAGGGTGCCCTCAAACAGGAACCTGTTGGCAGCCGGCGGGGTGGGGGGCAGTGACCCAGCTCTCCCCTCGTTCCCCGCAGCTGGAGCCAGACGGGCTGCTCGCGTGGGTCCTGGCCGGCGCGCTGGGGCTCAGCCTGGTCTTCTCCCTGGTGGCCGTACCGCTGCAGTGCTTCCAGCTCAGCAAGGTCTACGGCTTCTGCCTGCTCCTCTTCTACCTGAACTTCCTTGTCGTGGCCCTGCTCACTGAATTCGGAGTGATTCACTTGAGAAGCGTGTGACTGAAGCCGCCTGGCGGTGTAGCCTCCTGCGAGGGGAGGACTGGGGGCCGGAGCACCCTCCGCAGAGCCCGTGCACGCGGGTGGCTCCCGCTGCTTGCTGGCCGGAAGTCGCTGCTGTGAGCAGAGAGAACCGCTGCGTCCCTGCAGCTGCCAGCACCCCACAGGCCTCCTTGCCGGGACTTTGAAAACTGGGCTTTGCTCTGGACACGGGGTCCAGACAGAAGCTTTACGAGGCCTCCTCGAATTAGCTCTGGAGCTCTCTGGGGAGGACGGGGTTGGGGAAGGGGAGGGCGGGCTGCCTTCCAGGCCGTGCTGGAACACCCCGAAGTGCCACGGCTGGAGGCACCTGCGGAGACGCAGGCTCTGCCCGTCCCCCTCACTGGGCTCCAGGCCTTCTGGCGCCACCTCCTCAGGGTGCAAGTGGCTGCCCAGCCTTGACTCAGAGAATCAGGGTGACAGGACACCCCAGGCCTCTGGCCACCGAGGGCTGAGCTCTCGAGCTGCACCAACTGACACAGAATCTGAGATAACCTAATTTTCAACGTCTTGGAAGTTGTCATGTTAATAGAGCCCAAAGTGGGTGCAACACACAGCGATGTATTTCACTGAACCCACTGCCTCCCTAACCCCGGCCAGCCTGCGCCGCGCGGACGGCACGGCTGCACCCTCCTCCTCGCACGCTGCCCCTGGCTGGCCAGACTCCTCTGTGCCCGGAACCTTGGGAGTCCCCAGCTGCAAAGCAGGAGTCAGATTGCGTCCTGTGCCTACCTCGGGGGCTCCTGGTGCCTTCCCGCTGTCACGCAGCGACCCGCCTTTGAAATAAGCAACTTCAGTCTGCCCATTTGCCTTAGCAGGTCAAGAAAAGGGATTCAACTGTCTTTTTTCCAAATAAAAAATGATGAAATGTTTCATGCACATAGTGAAGAGCACACGTCCCACGCTTTGCAGTTCTCACCCGGGGCCAGGGCGGCGAGGCTGGGGGTGGGGCACCTCCGTGGATGGGACCTCCCCCTCCCCACAGTACCTGAAGCCACGCAAGTCAAGAGGCAGCAGCCGCGTTTATAAAGCAAAGGCTCCTTTATTAATACGCCAGAAATCCGGAGACACAGTGGGTTTTCTAGGTAGCAAATCACCAACGTACAAAACCTTACAGCGTCGCTCCCGTGATCCGTACAAAATGATTGTCCTCGAGGTGTGGTGTAAGGCTGGGGGAGGGGAGGGGAGTGAGGAGGCGGCACCAGGCAGCGTCCCCCCAAAGCGCCTGCGTGTTGGGCAGGGTCGCAGTGCCGTTGCTGCCACTGCCGAGCCATGACCCTGGCTGTCCGCGAGTGTCGCTTGGGTGCACTCTGCTGTGACGGGGAGGGTGAGGGGGCATCTGTGCTTGGTCACATGCCGGTGCCCTCAGAGCTCTCAGCCTGGGTGACACCTGTTCGCTGCTTGGTGGGCAAGTTTGAGTGTCAAGTTGGTGGGGCCCCAGGTGACCCCCTCAGGGATGACTGTCCTTAGTCTCTATGACAAGGGCGCCTCCCACTGGCTGGAGCCTGGCCCGTCAGCACTATTGCCACTTGGGTCTGTCCTGTCTGGACCCAAACCAGGCCCTTTCTCAGGGCAGGGTTGGACGCATGGCCGAGTTCACTCTGCGATCCCACCCGTCCTGGAAGCGGCTCTCACGTGTGGGCGCCTCAACGCCCCTGGGCTGCTGCCCTTCCTGGCTTGCAACTCGCTGGCAGCAGAGGAAGGGACTCGCATGGGGCAGCTGCTTGGGTCGGAGGACTCGGCGCCCGCCTAGGAGCTGTCTGTCCCTTGACCCTTGCTGCCGCCATGCCCGCTTCAATACACAAAAGCTAAAAGGCACCCAGTTGTGCAAATAAAGTTCATTCTCCATGGAGGGAAAGGGGTTCTGACCCGGGACTCGGTGCCGAGCTCCCGCAATGGCTGCTGGCCCTCCAGAGAGGAAGGGGACAATGCCAGTCTCCTGACTCCACGTGGGACTCACAGTGGTTCTCCATGATTTGTCGTTTTCCCAAAGGACTGTGCTTTAAAAACGGAAACACCCACTTGTCGCCTGGCGAGGGGAGAGCTGGGCCACGTTGGCTGTGGATCCAGCTCGGCCCCGGAGGTGGCCGGGGAGTAGGGAGGGAACCGGGTGCTGCTGCCCTGGGGTCAGGCTCTGCCCTGCCCGCTCTGTGGCCAGAAAAAGGATGAGGCCAGAGGAGCCTCTGTCCACCACCTTCTGAAGTCACAAGAAGCAGTCCCTGGATGGCCCAGGATGTCCACCGGTGACAGCTTCCCCCGCCCGCTCCACACCCTCCTCCTGCGCCTCTGCTGCCCCCGTGGACCCTGTGTCATGTGGCTTCTGTGGCTCAGGAGAGCCGAACCAAAGCCACCTCTGCTCTGGCCCTGCTTCTGCGGCCACCACCACCCCCGTCACCACGACTGGGAACCCCGACGGCCTGCTCCAGACTTGCGCGCCCACCCTTCCTTGACCACGCTCGGACAGCATCTAGAACTCCATGAGGTGCCGGGAATCTGGTTACCTGAGCGTTCATCTGAACCTCCTTCTGCACCAACCAATCCTGCCACTGAAATCCCTGGGGTGAGCCGAGTCCAGGGAGGGCAACCACCCTGGGGAGGCGGGAGCCGGGCCAGGTCAGCCACGGGCTTGCAGCAACGTCCCGCAGCCTCCGTGCCCTGCTCCTGTCCCGACAGCCGCGCCTGATGCACGCGCGGGAAGGACCTGCTGTTGTCTTCAGCACAATCCTTAATTAACCACCATGTTAACAGGTACTCGCACGGGTAAGTCAAGGAAGAGGGACTTAGCTAAGAAAGCCGGTTCCAGGAATCGGTCTGGGTGGCAGCGACTCTCTGACCCGCGGCGCCTGGTTGCTACAGGAGGCTGTGGTAGGACTTTCGGCAACAACGGTTAAACCAAAGGACAGAGAGGAGCTCACAGAGCCAGGGGAGGAAACGGGTCGGCGCAATCTCGCGCGGCCGGGCACTGCCTAACTGAGCTCTGACCACACGGGTATGATCACACCCTGGATTCCGCTTTCCGTTAGGTCCTGGGCACTGGCCCCCGAAGGAACGTTCTGGGACATTATCATATATATAGAAATACCACCCTGGGGGATCCGGGCTCTCCTTCCTAAGTGGTTCTGTCCCTAAAGCAAGACTCAGAAACAGGAGCCAGGGCCCAGGGGGTTAGTGGGGAAGCTGTCGGGCGGGACAGAGCCTGAGAGCAGCAGCGGGGGAGGCTCTGGACGTGGCTGGGCGAGGCCTGGCCCAGGCTCAAGGCAAGCCCTGCAGAACTCAGCAGAATCCATTCAAGTGGTCTTCTTGTGAAGGGAGCTTCTAGAGCTTTCCACGTTAGGAAGAGCTCAGACCTAGTGACCTGACCCCTCACACCCAGCTGGCTTCTGGAGTTAAGGAAAACGGGGCAAGGTGGTCACAAACCAAGCCCCGTCTTGTCTTCTTTCTTCCTCTATGTGAATATGTGCATATATAGGAGTGTGTACACGCACACACGCATTAGTTCGATACATCGTAGTAAAATAATACTATTGTGTTATTGCATAGACGAGATGGCTTCTGGGCGCTGGGCTAGGTGACGGTCTGGGAGCGCTGGCGGCTGCCCGGGGGCTGCTGGGAGGTGGGGGTGACGCCGCTGTCGCTTGGCCGCTGCTGCTCCTCCTGCTCCCTGGCGTGCTCCTCGTACCACTCCTGGAGCAGAGCAGACAGCGGCTGAGGGCCGCGTCCCTCCCGGCCCACCCCGCGCTCCCTCCAGCCTCACAGGTCACCCCGCTGCCGGCCCCACGCAACTGGGACTTGAACCCCCGTCCGGACATGCCGGGAATCCCAAATATGGCCCCATCGGCAGAGATCACAACGAAGCGTGCTTGGCACACGTCAGCTCTTTAAACGAGGCCCGGGCAGCGGCAATCCTCAGCCTTTGTGAACACGACCTTTTGTCCTTCACTCGGGCAGTCCCCTACGCTGCCCCTTCCGAGCTCGGCAGGAATTTCGTCCTGTTTTACACCCAAGAAAACCGAGGCTCAGGAGGCGTATAAAGCTGAGTGCCTCTGCCAACTCCCAGGTGGCTTCTGCACCCTCCAATAGGGCTGTGGAGGCATTTTGGGAAAAGGCAAACAGCCTCCCCACCTAAGACCACTCTTGTTGTAACACCTGATGTTTTCAGGGACGGGGGTATTCAGGTAGTTAAGGAATTAAAAAGTACGCCCCACATTTCTCCATATTTCTCTTTTTTCGAGACAGGGCAAGGCGGTCGCACACCAAGCCCCATCTGTCTGTCTTCTTTCTTCCTCTGTACATATATGTGAGTATGTGCACACACACACGTTAGTTCAGTACATTGCAGTAAAACATTACTATCGTGTTACTGCACAGAAGAGCTCTACAGCATGCAAGAGCTCTGTCTCGCTCTGTCACCCAGGCTGGCGGGCAGCGGCACAGTCATAGCTCATTGTAGCCTCAAACTCCTGGGCTCAAGCAATCCTCCTGCCTCAGCCTCCCGAGCGGCTGGGATTATAGGTGCGAGCCACCACACCTTAACCCTACATTTTTAAAGACTCTGAACTACAGACCTTTAGAGCTTAAAAAATACTTTAGAGACGGCCTCGCTGTGTGCCCCCCCGTTTTACAGATGGGGAAGCTGAGGCCTGGAGCCGACGGACAGGCAGAGGGCAGATGGCAGAGGACAGGGCAGCCACCTCTCTCAGAGCACACAGGAGTGTGTGCTGTTGTGTCATCCCCGCTGCTCTGTGGGGCAGAGACTGTCTCCCTTTCACAGATGGGAATGCACCAAGTGACTTGTCATGGGTCACTGAGCCAGGGGTGGACGCCAACGCTCATACTATTTCCATGTCTCTGTGACACCACGCTGAGTGAGCCCCTAGGTATCTGCGCAGAGAACACTGACTCTGATCTCTTGTGTTTCTACAGAGGATATGAGCTGCTTCAGGGAACCCTTTGCGCACAGACACTGGTTATGATCGTCCTAGTGAAACAGAAGGGCTGGCAGAAAACCAGGGAACAGTGTGGCTGCGATGGCTGGCACAGGAAACCCTGCCCAGAGCCCTGGGACCCCAAGGTGGAAGGGAAGACCCGCGGTCCACGGCCTGTGGGCTCTGTCTGGAGGGCACGGTGCCGACCTGCATGGTGCTTTGCAAGGTATTTTCCTTAGCTGTCAATAGGGAAAGACTGGGTGATTGTGGGGAAAAAATCTGACTTCTGCCTTCTTTTAAATTGAAACAAAATATCCAATCAGTCAAGACAAGCGAGCAGGCTGAGCAGAGAAGGGAGGGCCTCATTCCTACCAGGCAACGCTCGGCCGGAGCCGGGACGAGGCTGCTTGCCCTGCACAGACCCAGCGCTGCCAGCCTGCCAAGGTCCCCGCCCGCCCGCCTTCTTTGCCTGTCGCGTTTCTTGCCCTGCAATTTGAGTCTGCAGCTTGAGCTCGGGCTAAGAGATGGGAAGGTGGTTCTGGAGAATCACAAGGGGCAGTGCCCTGTTACGGCCGGCCAGACAGCAGAGCTGCCTGCGCCGGGCAATGAGTTAAGGCCGGGTCCCGCCCGGGCCCCAGACACCACTGACACCACGGTCCCAACGGACAACTCCCCATCTCCCCGCTGAGCCTTCCACCTCTACTCAGGGACCTGGAGGGCAGCCCTGCTCAGCGGGGAGAGACCCCACCTGGGACGCGAGCTGGGCTGAGGATGCGGCCGCGAGGTCCACGGTGCCTACCTGTATCTCCTCCTGGTACATCTTCAGGCTCAGGTCGCTTTTGGTCCTTGATCGCCGTCCCAGAAACACCATGGAATTTTGCTAAGAAGAACAGAGGCGCAGGGCCCGGGAGTTTGAGGCCGCACTGAGCTATGATGGGGCCACTGCACCATAGCCCTGGTGCCACGCCAAGGCCAGCCTTTCCCACTCCTCCTCTGGCTTTTGCAACAGTGTCACCAGCATTTGAGGGTAAGGATTATGCCATGCTCAAACCCACCCCCTCCATCCAGCAAAGCCCGTGGCTCCTCACCTGGTATTTCTCCATCTGGGAGAGGGTCTCGAGCAGCCGGGTGACATCAGAGGAGGCCCCTCGTGCCTCCCGGTAGAGCTCCAGGACAGCAACCAGCTCTTCTTTGGAGATTTCCTTCTCAAGAGTGATGCCACCGTCAACTGCGGGAAGGGAGGGTGAGGGTGGGAAGGAGCCTGGGGCTTGGAGCCTCCAACCTGGCCTGGTCTCGGGTGACCACCCTCCCTGCTGCCCCTCTGCAGGGGTCCTGAGGTTCCCTCTCTAACGAATTCCGGGTCTGCATGGCCTGCCCTCCACCTTGGCCATCTGGAACTCCCCGCTTGCCCTCCTCTGCTGCGGATGCCAGCAGCATCCCGTGGATGGTCTAGCCAGCACCGTGCAGGGGACACAGGGTTTCAGGAGGTAACTCCAAGCATGGAGAAAGTGGTTGTATAGGCTGATATGACAGGGATTTGGGAAAAAGTATTAATAGGCAGGGGCAGTTCTGACGGAGGATTTGGAAAGCAGGATCAATGTGCAAAAAGCTGTGTGAGCTGGGAAGAGTGAGGCAATTATTAAAGCCAGCACAATTGAGGGGCAGAAGGAACACTATTTGCCTCTGCAGCAAACAATATTTATGCCATTGAAATTACGATCAGGCTGGGTGCAGTGGCTCATGCCTGTTGTCCCAGCACTTTGGGAGGCTGAGGCAGGAAGATCACTTGAGGCCAGAAGTTCGAGACCAGCCTGGGCAACATAGCAAGACCCCATCTCTAGCCAGGTGTGGTTGTGCATGCCTGTAGTCCCAACTACTCTGGGGGCTGAGGCAGGAGGATTGCTTAAGCCCAGGAGTTTGAGGTTACAGTGAGCTATGATTGTGCCACTGTACTCCAGCCTGTGTGACAGAGTGAGACTCCGTCTCAAAAAAAAAAAAAAAATCAAGAACCACAGTGAGAACCTATGATTAGGAAATGTGGAGAAAACTAAAAGAAACAGCTAAGGGTGCTAAGTCCCTGGAGGGGAAGTGGAAAAAGGCAGGACACAGGGCTGGCTGCCTTTCTCTACTATTTGTTCTTTCTTCAACTATGAGAGGTATTGTTTTTATTTTAAAATTAGATCATGAGCATTTTTCTGACATTAAGTATTTGAAAGTCAGTACAAATAAGAGATCTAGAAAGACAAGCCAGACAGATAAGCTGGACAACCAGACGGAGGAACTGCCAGACCCCAGGATAGCCGAAGAGCTGACAGCCAGCCAGCCAGCTAGCCAGACAGACAGACAGACAGGGCCAGACAGGCAGCAGGCAGCAAACGCCCACAGTGCCGCTCCCCGCACAGACCTTCCGAGTCCTGGTTCTTGCGGCTGTAGTTCATGCGGAAGACGAAGGCCTCGAGGATGAAGGCGACGATGATGGTCATCACCACCTGGCCAGGGACGGGGGATGGGCATGTCGGTGTCTCCTTCCTGCCGCAGAGCCCACACCCAACAGAGCCTGGCCGGACAGGACCCGGCCTCCCCCCTGAGGCTGAGCCCGAGGAGCTGGGAAGATGGAGGAGAGCTCTGCAGCCGGCGACCTACCATGGTCACGATGTAAAAGGTCATGAAGTAAAGGCGGCTCCAGTGGGAGGTCTGCGAGGTGACACCTTCCTGGAGAACGAGGGGAGCAGCCAGTGAGCAAGCGCCCAGGCAGGGCCAGGCACTGTCCACTTGGGCCGCTCCACGGCCCCTGGCCCAGAGCCAGGTGTCACCAGCTCTTTACAGATCGCCTCTGATTTGCGTCTGGCGGTGAGAGGCGGAAGAGAGGGACCCCTCTGCCCCGGGTCTAGCAACTCCTCTCTGGTGCGTGTGCCTGGGATGCTCTCCTGGGCGGCAAGGTTCGGGACCAGCACAGGCAGTCTTTGTCCTGAGCAGTGACAGGGCTCAGGAGAGTTTAAGGAATGGGGGCAGAGGAATCAACGATGCCTGCTTGGACACAGTGGCTCACGCCTGCGATCCCACCACTTTGGAGGCTGAGGTGGGAGGATCGCTTGAGGCCAGGAGTTCAAGACCAGCTTGGGCAATCTAGCCAGACCCCATCTCTACAAAAAATCTAAAAATTAGCCGGGTGCAGTGGTGTGCGCCTGTAGTCCCAGCCACTCGGGAGGCTGAGAGGGGAGGATCACTTGAGCCCAGGCTGCAGCGAGCCATGATCGCACCACTGCACTCCAACCTAGGGGACAGAATGAGACCCTGTCTCAAAATTAAACAAACAACAAAAAAAACCCCAACAATGCTTGCCACATCATTTCTTAACTGAAAAATCATCTCTGCGGTGGTGGGAGACAAAACAGGGACCCGGAGGCTGGGGCGTCTCCTGGCTGCTGGGGGACGTGCAGGGAGACGGTGGGGAAAGCCACTTCCCGTAAACGCTGGGAGGTGGCTTCTGGGGTCCAGCCCATACTATGGCCTCCCCGCAGGACACCAACCCAGCATGACCCGACACCCCAAACCCTGCAGGCCATGGGAAGGGCCACGCATCCCGTGCTGGGTGAGGGGAGACCCAGAGCTGGCCTCAGAGGGTGGTGGGCAAACACCCCCAGGAGCTGGCTGAGGTCTTACCATGATGATGTACCAGTTGTTGACAACGGTGAGCTCGAACAAGGTCACTGCCAAAGGGAAGGAAGAAAGAGAAACGTCTAGATCAGACCTGCTTCCTCAAGGTCAATCTGAAGCAGCCTCTCTCCACCTATCCTAAACCATGGCGGCAGCACAGCGTGGCTTGGGCCGTGAGCTCCAGGGAGGTCGGCCAAGGCCCTCCCTGAGTGCCTGCTCCACAGGGGTTTCTGCCACCTTGGCCTGTCCCCAAGAGGGCGTGCCCTTAGCTTCACGGCCTGTGCTAGACCAGGGCCAGGGTGGGGGTCTCACTGGGGCTCCCCCTTCCCCTGCAGAGGCCGTGTTTGGCAGGGCCACGGCCCTCCATGCCGCCCACCCAAGGCCTCTCCCTGGAACCCACAGGGGCTGTGCAGGGCACTGTGGCAGCCCTGGTATCGGGTCCCACCCTGCAAATGGCACCACAAGGTGGGTGGTGCCCTTGCACTGGACCGTACCCCTTCCAGCTCAGGCACGAAGGTCCTCTCCTTCCTGATACTGAGAAAGTATCAGGATGAAGAGAGTCAAACCCGGTGGCTGCGTAAGCCCTGGGAATCTGGCCTGGACTCTACCCCTACGGCTGGGCAGATGGGACCCACGCCCTCCACCCGGGCCAGAGAGGACTGTAGAAAGTGTGGCCCACGGCTCGGGAGGGAGAGACTCAGACAGTTTCGCCATACCCCCTCTGGGACCTGCAGTGACAAAGGCGGCATGCCCAGGGAACGTCCCCCCGTGATTTCTCCACTCACCAAAGCTGTTCAAGATGTTGTCGAAATTATTGAGATAGTAGTAGCCTTCCTCCACCACGGTCCTATTGCCCACGGTGTGATTGAGCCAGCGGTAGGCGTCTGCCACTGTGCTAGTGCTGGCCGGGAAGACAAGGGAGGCAGAAGGGAGGGTCACCAGACAATCGGCCACCTCCACAGAGGACAAAAAGCTGAAGCAAACCGGGGTCCGGCCAGGGATCTTTCTGCCCTGCCGCCAGCCTGGTTTCTGCCAGGCCCTCTCCGGCTGGTGCCATCCTCCTCGGCCCTCACTGCTGGGCTCCGGGGACCCCCAGGCTCCCCCCACCTGCTTTCCCCTGGCAGTTCTCTCTTGCTGCTCCCCGCTGGGCAGGGAGGAGAGGCAGGAGCCTCCCCACGTGTGCCCAGTCCCGAATTTGCTCTCGAGGCTGGCTGGTGTGCAGCAACCCTGGGAAAGGGGGTCACCAGGGCCCCCCAATACTTTGCCTGAGCACGCCCCACGTTTGAATAGGCTGCGTCTGTCTCGAGATCTCATCTGCCACTTCCCTCCCCGTCCTCCGCGGCTGTTCCATGCAAATCCATGCCAGCGTTTCTGAGTCTAGTGCTGGGGCCAGCAGGAGCCTGTTCAGGAGGCAGAGCCCCTGCCCCTTGCCGGCCACCACGTCAGAAGTACAGTGGGTCAGGGCTTGCACTCTAAGCAGCTCCCTGGGGATTCTGGTACGTTCTAGAGTCTGGGACCCCCTGCAGTGGGCTGCTGGTTCCAGGCTCGGCCTGACACTCAGAGTGGCCACCAATGCCTTTGTAAAACTGTTTGATGGTGCTTAAGGCCACAAAAACGGTAAAGAGAAAACTGTGATGGAGAACGCATGGCAGGGTGTGTCGATTTACTGTGCGGGCTTAGGAGAAAGGGGAGAGGAGGGGGACAGGCCGTGGGAGGTTTGCTCCCAGATCTCTACCTCTGAGCCCACCGGCCCTCTCGCCGTGTGTCCGTCTTATCCTGACAGGCTGTCCCTAGGAGACCGGTCTTGGCCCAGGTCCCCAGCGACTCCCAGAGGGGAAGGAGAGAAAGCACAGGCCCAGGCTGCTGGTTCTGGGGGCCTCTGTCCCTCAGCACAAAGGGGGAGCTGATGGAGCCCCACTGGGACGTAGCTCCTAGAGACGGGGACTGGCTCAGATGCCCTCACTCCGGAGACAACCCTGAGCCCGGGGCCCCTCATGTAGCTCGTCTGTGCTCAACCGAGCCCCAAAAAGCAAAGCAAGGCCGGTGCCTGGAGAGGCGTGTCCCCGAGGACCCTGAGGCTGAGAGGGGACCCGCCCTGCACCTGGTCCCCCCAGAAATGCAGGGCGCCCCGCTGCCGACTCACTTGCAGCAGTTGGGGTAGAGGATGCCGCAGAAGAATTCCATGCCCGCGATGGCGAAGGAGTAGTAAAAGATGAGCAGCGTGAGGCCCAGGCTGGGAGGGGCAGAAAGGACAGGGTGACGTGGGGCCGGCCGGGGAGACGGCTCCTCTGCAGCCCCGGCCTCCTGGGACCCACTGAGCTGACACGAGGCATGCCCCTAGCCGGGGTCGGCGACTGGGAAGTGCCGGCGGGGAAGGGGCCTCGTGGTGCGGCTCAGTGCAGGACTCTATTAACAGATGCCCCTTTACCAGAGATTCGCCCCTTACCTGTGAAGGTAGACTCACAGGTGACCCCTTACCTGTGAACGCAGACACAGGCGGTGAGTGAGTGGACGGCTCCCTGCCCCCCCACTAAATGTTTCAGAGGAGGAAAATGGTGCCAGGGAGACCTGTGGTGTCAGCATCTCAGGCTCCCTGAAGGCCCACCAGGCCCTCGACTCCAGTCCTTTCTGGGACTCCTTCCCCCGACTACCACTCGGCTCCCATCCCTGCGGGCACAGCCTGGCGTCGCCTGCGCCTGCGGCCTGGGGGGCAGGGCGGTACCTGGCCATCCGCGGCAGCAGCTCGAACATGGTGTCCAGCACGTTGCGGTAACGCTTTTTCAATTTAAACAGCCTGAGCGACGGAAGAACACCAGGTCACTTGCAGAAGCAGGGGCGTGTGGCCTTGGCCGCCTGCTGGCGGAACGTGCTGGAGCCCGCCTCCCACGGGGCCTCTCCACCTGAGTCTACTTGGCTCAGGTGACTCGTGCACCTGGTAAGGGACCGGGGCAGCCCCAGGACACCGGGGTTGGACAGGACCCCTCCAGGAAGAGGCGCGGAGCCACCTGGGTCTCCCACAGTGTCACGTGGGTGAGGAGGGGGCAGCGCCCGCCCTCCACGGTTTGCACACGAAGCAGGAGGCAGAGAGCCCAGCCTCGCTCCTGGGGTGAGAGGAAGAGAAGCCCACGCCCGCCGCGGAGCAGGGAGCGGCTGACGGCTAAGAAAGGGAGGCGCTGGGCGGGGCAGGCGTGCACGGGGGTGGCCCCAGGCCGCCATGTGCGCCACAGCACCAGGTCTTCCCCCAGAGGCTCTGTCATCCTGTGCCCACCTTTTCTGTCCCCCCAGGAGGGAGAGGACGCGCCACGGGGCGCTGGGACTGCCGCTGGAGTCGAGGAAAACCCAGGCTCCGAGGACACAGCCCTGGGACCCTCCCTTGGGAAGAGACATGTCAACAGGGCGGGGCTCTGCCAGGATTTGCTACGGTGTCCCTGGGAGATCAGTGGGACCCGCACGAGGGTTTTTCATGACAAGAGGCTGAGCCAGCAAAGCACGAAGGGCCCCTGAAAGCCCCTTCTGACCCGCAGAGCCCGCGGCGCTGATCTACGACCGAGACCATGGGCTCACGTGGCCGCAGCGATGCCAGCTTGGCAGAGCCCACGTGAGGCGCCCGGTGCCTGGGAGGGGAGGAGGCCCGGGCAGCCCGCACGCCCGCAAGGGTGAAGACAGTGACCCCGTGGTGCTTCTGCAGGGGCCTGACGTCTGTGGCGCCAGCTGTGCATCTCTGGCTCCTTCCAGGTCACCCCCCAGACCAGTCCCAGGGCCTCCCGGTCCTCCCTCTGCCCCCCTCCCGGCCCCGGCCTGCCCTGTCACCTTAGCAGCTGGAGGGGACGCAGGACCACTATGAAATAGAAGGGCTCCATGTTGAGGGCCAGAGCCAGCAGTCCCAGGAAGGCGAACACCGTGACGGAGAAGTCGAACCTGGGGGGCAGGAGCGGTCAAGGTCTGTTCAGCAGCCCCTGAGCCCCCACGACTGTGCCCCTCTCCCGGCCCTTGGTCCCCCTTCCGAGGAGCCCGGACACCAGCCACGGCAAAACCAGCAACAGCCGGCTGGCCTCGGGAAGCACCTCCTGCCGCCCTGGGGTCGAGCTTGAGGCGGCCAGGCCCAGTCACAGGGGTCGCAGGGGTCGCAGGGGTCAGGCCTCAGCACACTCAATACCCGGGACGCCCCTCCCGAGGGCCCCGTGCTGGTCTAACGACAGCAAGGACAGAAGCCCCGGCCTCTGCAGCCCTGAGACAGGCCTCGCCTCGTCTCAGCTCAGCGGGGACCAGCCCGACCCAGGAACTTTCTGAGGGAAGAGGGCAGGACCTTCCGCCGAGATTCCCACCAGGGGAGCAGCTACCTGCTTCGAGTCGCGGGGCACAAGGTACTGTCCCTCCCACCTCCTCTGTGTATTAGCTTATTCCACTCTCACGACCCCAGACCCCACGAGCGTAGCCTGATCTCACGGGTCAGTTAAGTCTGGGCGGGCAAGTGACCTCCTGAGCTCTGCGGAGCGGGGAAAAGGGCCACGTGGGTCTCGTCACAGCGCACCGGGGAGGTGGTGGAACGCTCTTCTCGGTGGGTGTTGTGGTTTTTATGGGGGAGAAAAGAGCCTAACGACTCAAGAAGGGCCACCCGGCCTACGGAACCTCCAGAGGCCGTTTCCAGGGGGGCTGCCGTGAGTGGCCTGAGGGGCTTCAGACGAGAGTCTGACCCTGGGGAGATCCTGGGCCACGGGCAAACTGCTCCCGGGAGACAGGACTGGGCCCGGCCTCAGACCGCCCCTCCGCAGCTGCAGAAGCGGCGTGGGTGTTGGGGCGTGCAGGGAGGGGCTGCGTGGCCATTGCCAGAGTCCCAGCCACGGGTCAGAACACTCTCCACTCACAAGTTCCATCCGGAGGACAGGTACTCCACGGGGCCCAAGCCCGCGACTTTCAGGAACAGCTCCACCCCGTAGACTGCGGAGAGAAGGAGGCCGTTGCCGCGTCCTCCCCCACCCAGCCTGGCTCCTCTGCGGCTGCCCTGCAGTGTAGCCTCCCCACGGGCCACGTGCCCTGCAGGCTGCGCCCCGCCCACGCCTCACCCACAACACCACACGCTCTCGCTCCAGGACGGGCCTGCTCCACATGGCGGCCACTTGGGCAACTTGCTTAAGAAGAGAAATCCTCCTGCCCCCCGCCCCGGGCAGGGCACAGCCAGCCAGCCACCCAAGCAACAGCCACGGCCCGGCACCGTCCGCGCCAGGCGCTGTGCTGGGTGCTGGGCGTGCAGCGGCGAACAGGGCAGGGCAGCCCTGCGCGCGCAGAGCTTATCGTCTCTACGGGAGGAAGGACAAGTGAACAGGGAACAACAACGCAGTGTCCAGGGTGTTCGGACTCGACTAGATGACGAGGAAAGTCGGGCAGAGATGGCACGGGGACAAAAGCACCAGGCAGAGGACATGAGCCATGCACAGGCACAGAGGCAGGAGGTCAGTGCAGCAGGGAGAGGGTGGCTGTTCAGGAGGGCTGGAGGGCTGGAGTGCGGGGCAGGGAGGGGGGGGGGGCCTCGCCCAGCAGGGGGTGTGGGTCACACCGGGGGGATCTGGACTTGATCCCGAGAGCAGTGGAGAACCAGGAAGAGTTTTAAACAAGGGTGAGCTGGAATCAGACTAAATTTCTACTCCATCTCTTTACGGCTCCCTGTTTTAGAGAAGAGCCATGAGATTCTAAACCAAACTAAAGTTCTCCCAGACAGCGTTCAAGACAAGCAGTTGGGCAAAGCCGCGTCAGACACTTACTAGTAAGAAAGACGAGGTAACTCCAGGGCACGTGTTTGGAGAAGAAGTTCCCACCTGCAAGACACAGCAGTAGCACGTCAAGGGCAAGCCAGGTGTGCTGCCCAGGTGGCCAGTCCCCGAGCCGGGGCTCACCTTTCAGCATAAACGTCTCCACGAGGATCCACATACCATTGACTGCCACCACCAAGTCTGAAATAGACAGGCCCATGAAAGACAGAGAAAGGACAGGCGGGCTTGGAAATCTACGGGTCACAGCTGCGGTCCCTGGTTAACTTCCGGGAAGCTCTGGGGAGGGGGAGAACAGGGCTGCTCCACACACCCATTCGACAGGGAACTTCCTTCTGCTTGGTGCTCTTATCAGAGGAGCTAAATCACCAGTGGTCTCACTGCGACACAGCTACACATTTCCAAAAACACCCTCTCTGTCACTGTAGGGACACCAGCTAAGATGTAGAGATTACTCCAAGTCAGTGTAAAAGATGAATGCACAGGGGTTCGAGTATTGAAAACATTTGTTTTCCCTTAGAGAATTCTAATTTTAAAATAACTGCATAGCTGGGGACAGTGGCTCATGCCTGCACTTTGGGAGGCTGAGGTGGGAAGACTGCTTGAGCTCAGGAGTTCGAGACCAGCCTGGACAACACAGCAAGACTCCACCTCTATAATCGATCAGTCAATAAAATGAAATTAAGATAAAATGACTGCATGAACTATTTAGCAACATTGCTCATGCATTTAGCCTTTCGCCTAGCAATCCCACTTCTAGGGACCCATCCCAACGATCGACTAACAAAAATACAAAAAGGCGTATACTGAAAGCTGTTCCCTGCTGCACTATTTGTGACAGCAAAACACTGGAAACAACCTAAATGATGACCAGTAGGGGACTGGCTGAATAGACTATGACAGATTCATGAAATGGCTGGCTTGCTTTCTTTTCTCTTTATTTTTTTACAGGTTGGAGACCGAGGTGGCGGCTCCCTTCTCCATCCCGAATGGCATACTTTCAGCCATTAAAAAAAAAAAAATGAGGTCTATCTCTGCATAATACTAGGCAGTGACCTCTGATCTTCAGGACATATTATTAACTAAAAAAAAGCAAGGTGAGGCAAAAAGTGCAGGCAGTATGCTATTGTTTACTTAAGACAGGAGATATTAATACATACGCATCTATTTACAGTTTAAAAACGGAAGGATAAACCATAATAGAAGTTGCCCTCTAGAGGAGGTGACAGAGATATAAACTAAGCTTCCTTGAATATAGTTTGTTTTACAGATCTGATTTAGAACCATATAAATATTTTACATAATTATAAAACAAAATTAAACGTAAAAAGCAGTCCCTAAAAATAAAAAATAACCTGAAATAAGCCTAAATGTGTATCTGGTTGGTGACATATCCACACGGAGAGGAACTATTCCGGGTGATCTAAAAACAGTAATCCGAATGTACAGCCCCTGGAGTGATGTTTCTAGAAGTTCTATCACTGGGACTGTGTTGAGATTGTTATTCTGGGACTGTGGGACACAGCAAATGAGTCGTGTTACTCTTGTTGGGAACCCGGATTTAAGATTGGGCATCTAGATTTGTAAGATTAATGAAATTAGGTAAAAAATCCTGTGGTCCCGAACGTGAAGAATCAGCATGAACTCGCGATATAGTTTACCTTTAAAAAAACAAAATCCTAGCTCCGTCCACGAAAGGCCTAGAAACAATAACCAACCCCAAGCAATGAGCACCCCAGCACCTCCGACTGTGGTCTCTAACACCACTGCCCACTAAAAGGAGCTACAGTTCCTTGGAAAGACTGAATCCGATCAGGCCTCTAGGTTAGTTCTGTGCAAGAGAACGTTCTGTAACAATGAAAATTTCTTATCTGCTCTGTCCAGTTGGTAGTCTGTGGCTACTGAGCACTTGCAATCTGACTGGCCAACTGGATTTTTAATTCTAATTAACTTAAATGTAAATAGCCACACGTGGCTAGTGGCTACCACAACTGGACAACATGGCTCTGGATATAACTACCAAATTACGGGAAATAAGCAACAGAGGAACGTGCAAAACCACGACTTAGGTATAAACAATCTTGTTTCTTCAACTAAATGCTGCAAGAGGGAGAAAAGGGATGGACGAGGAACCTATAGATTAAAACACACTTAAGACGCATATCAGCTCTGGTTCTGGAATTTGTTTCTAGAAGATCCAGGTGCAGAGAGGGGATGACCAGCCAGAGGTGGGGGTGGGGTGGTCAGACGAATGACAGCCGGGCCATGAGATGGTAACTGGTGAAGCAGGGTGATGGGCGCAAGGACACGCATTATGATCTTTCATGCATGCTTGGAATTCTCTATGATAAAAAGTCAAAAAGATGACCCCAGGGCTAATCTCTGCCTCCCCACCTTCTAGAATAGCAAAAGAGGAAAGGGGCCTACCGCTGTGACATTTCACACTTACACATGAAATACTGGAAGGCCTTGGACTGCACGAGGATATTAATGCCTATTTGAAGAGAAGACATGTTACAGTGGAAATTTTCATACACATTCCCCTACCACATTCTTCACACATGAAGGCAACCAGGGTATTTATGTCCGGGGGTGAAAAAAGGAGAGGCCTGGGCCGGGCGTGGTGGCTCACGCCTGTAATCCTAGCTCTCTGGGAGACCGAGGCAGGCGGATTGTTTGAGCTCAGGAGTTCAAAACCAGCCTGAGCAAGAGCGAGGACCCTGTCTCTACTAAAAATAGAAAGAAATTAATCAGACAACTAAAAATATATAGAAAAAATTAGCCGGGCATGGTGGCGCATGCCTGTAGTCCCAGCTCCTCGGGAGGCTGAGGCAGGAGGATCGCTTGAGCCCAGGAGTTTGAGGTTGCTGTGAGCTAGGCTAACACCATGGCTCTCACTCTAGCCAGGGCAACAGAGTGAGACTCTGTCTCAAAAAAAAAAAAAAAACCCTCTAAGGAATATGGGATAACAGCTGTGCCCAAAGGCCTAGCGGTGGGAGAAATCACAGAATAAAATACACCATCTTCACTCTTGTTCCCAATGGCCCAGATCCAGGCTTCGGGCTATTTGCGTAAGAAATTCCCTGTGAGCTGAGCAGACTCCCATGTGGAACGTCGCAACTGGCATTAAACTAAGGAGCAATTGTTCAGTAAATACAGGAGCGCTCAATTACAAATTTCAAATCTTATACTCTGCAAGCACCATGCAAGGGGCCACGCAATCCAGCTACATATCCTGCCACAGGAGGAGGGGGAAATTATGTCACTGGATGAAAAGGCAGGTGACAGAATTTGTAACGTGATCCTGTTGTTTCAAAAATGCACAGAAAAATAACCAACAGGGAAACACATCAGAGAATTAACAGTGGTTATCTCTGGGTGGTAAATTTTCATTTTCTTCTAATTATCTGACTTTCTAAATTTTCTTCAGTGAATATCTTTACTTTTGTATGAGGAAAGAAAAATCCACAAACTGTCTTGGTTTGGTTAAGTTACCGATTTCTTTCCTAGTCTGCTTCCTACCGCTCATGTCCCTGCTGGGGTGATCACACTCTCTGTTCACACACAGACAATCAGACACTAGCGCACACACCCTCCGAACACGCTTCTCAAATGCTCGTCTGTGGTCTCCAGAAACCTCGGCTGCCAAGACGCCGTCCTCAAGCCAACCTTACCTTTGAAGATGAGGAAGGCCGTCCTGGGAAGCTCATCAAACCAGTGCTCTCTGTTTCTCTTTGCCTGGCAAGGCAACAGGGCCACAGGGGAGAGGGGTCAGGGCCAGCGACCAGAATCCAGCCCTGGGGCCAGGAGGCTGGTGTTTCTGTTCTGCTCGACCCACCAAACTGGGGGACACTGTTAGCATTCAGGGATGTAAATGACAACACAGACAGCCAGTGCCTACTGAGCATTACAACGTGCCACGCATATGCATCACTTCTATATAACCCTGAAAATAACCCTGTAGGCAGGGATTGTCCTTATCTTGTTTCACAGGTGAGACAAGCCTTGGAAAGGTTTGATAACTTGCTGACGACCCACAGTGACTCATGCGGTCTGAGATTGCGCACTACTAACGGTGACACTGCATCACAAATGTAAGGGCGGATTTGGGGTCGGGGCCGCCCGCTATGCCTGAAGTGCACGGTGCCCGGCTGAGAGCCGAGCTGCCCTGGCAGGGAGAGAGCCAGAACCCAGAGACCCCGGGCCATCCCCAGTCTCCCAAGAGCACTCACCTTCCACTTCAAGGCAGCAACTTCATAGATATCATAAAAGTCCTTTAGGCTGGCATAAGTGAAATGAAAAGGCAAAAAAGGAAATCAGACCACATTCCCACTGAGCTTTGGTTCTCCCACTCACCTGTCCGTGGTCACCTTTACGGGTGACGTGGGAGGAAAGGAGGGGACCTCCTGTGAGTCCTGGTGCCTCAGTGCCCAGGGGGCCCTCACCCCCAGACGTTTGGATTTCCTCTGTCCTTGAGGTACTATGATACATAACCCGCTACGTCTATACTGACCACACTAACTACAGACGGTTTCTGTTCCCTGGCGAGCCAGCCCCTGGAGTACTATAATTCTTAGGACAGAAACAACACCTCTTTTGGCAGAGGCCTTAATGGAACACCTGGGACTGCGAGTCCAGCCCCAACAGAGCTCGCTCATTCTCATCGCCGCAGCAGGGCCGCTTTTCCTGTCGACGGGTTTTGGTCATTAACAGTCCAGAAGGCCAACACTGCCCGTGGAGTGCTCAGGGTCAGTTCTCGAGGCTGAGCCAGCTGTGCACAGGTGTGTGTGCACGACGGGGTGTATTCACCCCTGTCCATCTGGCCCACGCGGGACTACCCCACCCCAACGGCACACGGGGGTCAGCGGCTGGGCCAGTCCACTTCCTGAGCCAACACGCTTGTTTTTTATCAAGTCCGACTGAACTGGATTTGTGTTGGACTGGCACTTGCCAAGAGAATCCTAACGAATACGGACGACAAGTCTACATGCGTAAGTATCTCCGTGAAGCAAACTGAAGGCTTTAATGAGCTTCTGTGCCTGCCCACCTGGTGCCTTCCCACGCCCCAGCTCCCTCCCGTGAGTGTGTCAATGCCACGCCTGGCCACGCTGCCCCCGCCTGGCACCTGCTCGTACCTGAGCAGGGGTGTGTCGTTCTGATTCAGGGCCTTGAAAGCGAGCAGGCGCTCCCTCGCGCTCATCCGGGGCTTGTAGAAGCGCATGAGGCCTTCGAACTGCCTGTAGGAGATGCCGGCAGGCCTCTGCGGGGAGGGAAGAGGGCAACGTGGGACAGAGAAAGATCCAGAACCCAGACTGTCCCCCTCCCCTTGGGGCGGTCATTCCAGAGGCAGGGCACCTGCTCATTCTCCCAGGGGCAGGACTCCTGGTTTCTGAGTTGCTGGCCCTGCCGTGCTTAGGGGCTGCCCTGGGCAAGGGAGGGAGAACATGGACCCACCCCGGCCCCTCGCGGCCCTACCCGCTGGCTGAGCAGCAGGCGGTAGGCATGCTGGATGGCGGTTCGCTTATGCAGCAGCAGAGACTTGAACTTGCGTTTCTCGATGTCGTTGAAGGTGTCAAACACCACGGCCAGAAGCTGTGAGAGAAAAGCACAGAGCCTGGCTCCCCTGCACGCAGGGCCTCGCGCGGCCGGGGCTTCGTCCTCTGCCTCTAGGCAGGGCTTCCGCCCAGCCAGCCCCAAGGGAGCCGGGGAAGGACTCCCGCCTGCGCCTCGTGTAGGCAGTTTGTCTCCAGGTCTCAACAGAGGAAGGCCGTTCGTTGCCACTTAAAAATTTCTCTCTTCAGATACATGAAGACATCGTGGTAAGATTTTTCTCCAGGTTCCAGGTCTACTTGCCTACTCTCCTCTCCCCACGTTTCACCTACAGCTTGTCTCAGGCTGGGCAGGGGACAAGCCAGGGCAGAAGAAAGCAGCAGGAGGAAGGTGCCCGGGTTCCGAGCCCAATCCCACTCCGTCCAGCGGCTGGGGCGTTGACTGCCACCGCCCTTCCCCCCTCATGGCAGGAAGGACACCACTGTGCCCAACGCTTCCTCCTCCTGCCCGGTTACTTCCCCTTGTGAGTCACAGCTTCCCGTGTGGCCCCAGAAATAAGGGGGACGAGGAGCACTGCACGCAAGGAAATGACATCCTGAGGTTGTCTAATACCGAAGTTAGCTTATTAATGGCCCCGTCTGCATTATCAGAGGGAGAGGGGAGGCCGGGGAAGCATGTGAAAGAATCCTTTCAGAAATACTTTGTCTTTCAAAAATGTTTTGGGGGAAACTCTCTGGTCCTTTCTACCCTTCAAACTGGTCCACCATTTTTTTCCCTGTAGATCAAGAGTCAGCAAACTTTTTCCATGACGGGCCAGATAGCAAATATTTTAGACTTTGAAGGCCAGATGCGCCGTTTCGACTACTCAATGCTGTGATTGTATCAGGAAATCAGCCACAGTCGATATGTAAACAAATGGCCATGGCTGTGTCCCAATAAAACTTTATTTACAAACACAGGCTGGGGGCCAGATTTGGCCAGGAGTGTGCTGACCCCTGCCCTAGATTTTCAATAGCTCTAAATATATTACAAATGAAAACAAATACAAAAAGAGGTAGCTGACCTATTTCTTTTTGGTCTTGAGGAATTAAAAAAAGAAAATATCTTCCTTTTTAAGACTTCACGTTTTTAGGAGGTTTCACAAGTCTACCCCAGAGAAGATGGTTTCCATCTCTATACTGGGCCTGACCGTGGTGGCTGGTATGAGAATGCTCTTCGGAAGTAGAAAAAACACAACCTTTGATCCAAAGCCTCTGTCTGATAACTCTGGCATTGACGTGTTCTCGGCAGGCCTGACAGCCTAGTGCCAGATGCAATCTGCCGATGGCAGGGACATTCCTGACACCATCCAAGCCTCTGCGAACACCTCCAGAGTTCCGTGTGCACGGGGGCTTTATGTTCTCCCTCCTGGGGGAACGTGCTCTATGTCAGGTTTTATGATGCTCCTGACAAATGGGGTAGAAGCACACAAGACGTTCCTGGCACGTGGGTACGGAAGGACGGAGGGGTTAGGGGCTGGGCTCTGGAATAAGCCCGGCCTGGCCACTCCGAGCTGTGCAGCTGTGGGCAGGTCACTCTACCAGCCTGATCCTCGGTTTCTTCATGTGTATACTTAGCATCATAATTGTAACGGAACCTCCAGGGATGGACATTAAGTCATTTCATCCTCATATGTAAAGCCCTGTGCATGCCGCCTGGCTGAGGCTTCATAAATGCCAGCTTTTACAGCTATGGGACACTCGGTCCTTATGTGTGGGGCCCACAGCCGGGAATTCAACCAACCATGGATGGAAAATACTTGGGGAGGTGGGGAATGGATGGTGGTGCCTGCACCTCACATGTACAGACTATTGTCTTGTCATTATTCCCTAAGCAGTACAGTCTGACGGCTATTTACACGGCATTTACATGTATTACATGTATGAGGTATTGTAAGTCGTCTAGAGATGATTCAGAGTGTACGGGAGGATGTGTGTCGGTTATATGCAGACATGATGCCATCTTGTATCAGGGACCAGAGCACCTGTGGATTTTGGTACCTGTGTTGGGGCAGGGGCATGGCTCTGATACCGAGGGACGACTGTGTGTGTTTGCTGTAAGAACGTCAAGGCCCCACGGTGGCCCTGGCTTAGAATCCAGCACCAGGAGCAGCGGCAGCACTAACAGGGTGAAGATGGTACCACCGGCATCCAGCTGAACTGCGTACGTCCTGCCGGGGTCCCCAAAACCCCACACCTGACTACAGGTCTGGGACTTCCTGCCCCGACGTTCTGCCCTGGGAGGCCGAAGGCAGTCCCCACCTCTCCACTCCCTCGGCGCCCAGCGCCGCGAGGGCTGGGGAGCCACTCCGAGCCCGAGGCACTGTCACTCACCAGGTTCATGATGAAGTACAGCTCGATGGAGAGGTACACGATGAAGAAGACGCAGGACCAGGGGTTCCGGGAGTAGGAGGGCATCATCACATCTGGGAAACTGCATTGGCAGGGGTCACCACGGGGCCCGGGCCAGCCCGCCTCCAGCTTCTCAGAGGACACGCCGTGCAAAGGACAGCTCCTGCCCCGCCTTCCCAGCCTCCACAGCCCCTTCCCCTACTCTCGAGCTCAGGAGGCCGATCCTGCCTCCCAGCAGTGCCCCGCAGCTGTCCGTGTGAGATGTGGGATACACCTTGCTGCCAGGAGGAGGCGATCCAGGCACCAGCAGGGGACGGGGGCAAGGCAGAGCCCGTACTTACTTGGCCGTGGTCAGGAGGACGAACAGGCTGACGATGCTGTTCTCCAGGGTGCTGAAGTACTGTAAGGAAAACGGAGTCAGAAGAACATGCTGGGGCCAGGCTGAGCCGCCAGAACAGGCCACAGTGGGCCACCTCGAGCACCCTGTCCTCCCCCTTCCCCGCTCCTTGGTCCTCCCGAGGAATCAAGGGACACAGAGGAATGAGCAAACGTGGAGTCCAGAGGCCTCCCCTTCCTGGACTCGATGCTCTGGCAGAGGCAGACTACTGACTCCGGGGGACTTGTCCCCAGGAAGTCACATGTTTGGGCAATCAGCCTGGCTCCCTTCCACTGTGCCTCTGCCAAAACGTTCCCATGTTCCCAACCTGATCCTGGCAACAAGGACAGGGAAGGGGATCCCTCAGCTCTCAAGGAAGGAAACGGCCAAGTGTGAGTGACGGGGAACCCGCAGGCGCCCTGCATGAACCAGGCTGAGAAACCAGGCCGGGCACCCCTCCCTCGTGTGGCTAATAGGGTCGCTGCAGCCACCCTGTCTGGGTTTTGGAAAGGCCTCACATAAAAGAAGGGACAGACAAACATGCCAATTACTTACGGGGTCTGAAGGATTAGGGGAGAACAAGTAGAAACCTAGAAGGTGGTGGAAAAACAGACCAAAAGAAGGATCAGAGCAGAGGTCCCGAACCTGGGTGTCAGCGAGCCCAGGAAGGGCAGCGGGGAGCAGCGGGGACTGCGGCAGCGGGGAGCTCGGCTCTGCCCAGGGGAGTGGGTGCCGGGGCACGGACGCCCTCTGCGGTACGGGAACACGCCCGAGCACTGTCGGGTCTGGCCTCTAAACAGGCTGGACATCTGTATTTTTGTGTAAAATCTAATTTTAAAATGCTGGCTCAAGTTTTCAGACCGAACGAAACCCATCTGTAGGCTGGATCTGGAGTCCAGACTGCTGGTTTGCAGTCCTTGGCTCTGAGAACGTGGCAGCTAGCTAAAATTCCAAAGGGGTCCCGTTCTTCCCGCAGCCAAGGCCCCAGGTTGGAACGCTGTTCCTTTCCTCCCTCCCAGAATCGGCTATTCCCTGGATGCCCTGAAATCCTGAGTGGGAAAAGGGAGAAACTCTACCCTCAGGGGAAGTCAGCCTCCCTGGAGAAGCACAGATGAAGTTCTACCAAGAATCTGGGGTGGCGGGTAAGAGGACGTGGGAGCCAGTGCTCAGGACAGGGCAGTCACCAGGGCCAGGGCGGGGCCACGCTGGCTAGTCCCACTGTCTCCACCATCTGAGGAGCCCTAAACACAGGACCTCAGCCTGCCTAGCCGTGTGCTGGGCCCTGCGCTGTCGAGGCCCTGTGTCTGGATGTGGCTGTCACAGGCTCAGCCTTGTCTGAAGAGCCAGGACCTCAGAGTGAGGAAACCTGCCTTGTATCTGGTGAAGCTGAAGCGTGCAGACCCCCACGGCCCGGGCAGGCGTCTTAGAGCCTCCCGGGCAAGTGTACCAGGAAACGCACAGGAATGTTCCCTGCAGTGGGATTTGTAACAAGAAAAATGTCCGGCAGAAGAACAGATTAACAAGCTTTGGCAAATTCGCTACACGCCAGTGAAAATGAATGAGCTGGTCTACATGTATCAACACGGATAAACCTCAAAAGCATAAACGCTGAGCAAAAGAGCAGCCTGAAGAAGGGAACACACACATCACATAAACATTTGTAGAAATGTTTTAAACATACAAAGCAATACTCCCGACTTGCTGCTTAAGGAAATGTAAACACGAAGTAAAAATACAAAGACACACCTGGGAACCAACACCTTAGGACGGGGCACCGCTGCGGGGACAGGGGACTGAGATCGTGAAAGGCTACAAAGCTGCCTTCCCTTTCGTTTCTAAGACTCCATTTCCTACTTTGGAAGGTGGGTCCGTGGGTGTTTGAATTACTTTTAAAACCTTTCCGAATTTCTAAAACTCTCTGCTATGGTCTGAATGTTCATGTCCCCCCAAAATTCATATGTTAAAATCCTAACCCCCACGATGATGGTGGGAGATTGGAAGGTGGGGCCTCCGGGAGGTGACTAGGTCGTGAGGGTGGAGCCCTCACAAGTGAGATTAGTGTCCTTATAGAAGGGCCCTGGAGCTGCCTTGCCCCATCCGCCCCATGAGGACTCAGCAGGAAGGCGCCACCTACGGCCCAGGAAACAGGCCCTCACCACACACCAGCTGCCTGACCTCGGACTTCCCAGCGGCGAGAAATAAATTTCTGTCGTGCATTAGCCACCTGGTCCACAGTATTTTGTGACAGCTGCCCCAAAGGACTAAGACTGTCAAAATCGTTTTTCTTCGACTGTGAACTTGCTTTTAGAGACCGGCTGGGTCCGGGGAGCAGGGAACTCACCGAGGATGGCGAAGATGACCATGAAGAAGAGCAGCAGCAGGAGGATGTCCATGAAGGGCGGCAGAGACTGGAAGATCTGCCGCAGGTTGCTGGGGGGAGAAACAGACGGGCCGGGTCGGGGGCGCCCAGCCTGGGGTGGGCTGTCTGGGATCCCCCGTGGGGACACGTCCATCAACAGGGGGTCCTGGTGCGCGGACTCGGAACATTAAACCCCGCTGCACCCCGACGTGACAGTGGGCTTAGTTTTTTCCTGAAGTGGCTTGAGACCCCCACTTGGGGGCGGGGCAGGCACGGCACACACGGCCACCTCCACGCGGTGACAGCCCCAGCAGGCGAGCGCCCTGCCAGACAGGGAAGGGGCGGCAGAGGGCGAGGGCACGGCCTTGAGCGCAGAGGTCAGCTTCCCTGAGTGGGACGCGGGCTGCACAGAGACATTGCAGGGCCACCCGGTCCTGGGGCACCCGTTTCCAGCTTTGAAGATGGGGCACAGGGCATCGCTTGGTAGCCTGTTCTCATCAACAGTACCCCGGCCAAGAAATTTTCCAGGCGGAGTCCCCAAAAGTAAATTTAAGTCGAGGCTTGGTCTGGTTTGAGTTCAGTCCCCCGGCCTCGGTGGAGGTGTCAGGAGAGCCCGCCTGAGTCGCGCGGGCTTTGCAGAGTCGCCTGCTTTCGGGCAGCTGTGGCGGCTGCTGCTGCGTTTGGGCAGATGACAAGCTTAGAGAGAGCGGCTAGCTCCGGAAGGCTGCACGTAAGATGGGACAGAGTCCTGACCCTGAGTCAGAAACCCTAAACGGCGGCAGGAAGACCGCCTTCACCACCGCGTGGGCCACACGGCAGAGGAAGAGCGAGTTTGCGTGGCCCACCACCGTGCAGGACTGAGCCCACCTCTCACTGACTCCCAGGGTCCTGCTCCCCCGCCCAGAGGTCAGGCCACGATGGTGACTGTCCGACCAGCTCCCCGCAAAGCCTTACCGCCGGACGCCACCGCAGTACCGACAGTCCACCAGGAAAATGCAGCGCAGTGCCCGGGTCACCCGCACATGGGACGTCTGCCGTACCAACACCACGATGGCCTCGACGAACTGCACCACCAGCACGGAAGTCTGAGGGGCGGCAGCACAGAGCTCCCTCAGCTCCTGCAGCGCGGCCCTCCTCCCGCACAGCGTGAACGGAGGGCTTCAGAGAGACGGCGCCCGCTCTTGGCCCCCTGCATCCCCTCCCGGAGCTCCGCCTCTCTCGCGCTGCCCACCAGCACCAGGCAGCCCTGGGAGAAGAGCGCTCCAGCTGCTGCCACGGATGCGGGGCCCCGGGAGAGTGAGCCAGCCGGTACTGACGGGAGGCAAAGCCGCCACTGTGTCCCCTATGCCTGGCCTCCCCACCCGCACCAGGAAGCCCTGAGGTCTGCGGCTCATCCTTGTCTCTGCTTCCACGGGTACGTTCTCCTAGACCACTGCGCGTGTTCTCCACACCACAAAGTGCCACCCTGACATGGCCCTACCCACGCCACTCTCTGTAGTACAGAAAGAAGGGGCACGACACCAGTGACGGGCCGGCACGGGCATGGGGGGCAGACAGAGCGGGGTGTGACCCTCCTCTCCGGGATCTGCGTCCCAGTTTCCTCCGTCTGGGTGGACGCAGGACAGTGACAGCAACACGCCTGCCTCCATGGTGACCACGTCAGTGCCTGGCACGTACTAAACTCCGAATCCCATTAGCGACTGCTGGTATTGCTAGGACACTGGGGCATCTGGCGAGGCCGGAGGCACGGCAGGGACACTCCTAGCGTGGACTGGGCCCACGGGGGATTCTGAATTGTGACACGGGTTTGAAGGTGATGTGAGAGGACACGCTGTGAGGACGTGGACAGACGGAAGGACACATCACCTTGACCATGGTCCGTTTGTGCCGGATGAAGGTGTGCAGGCCCAGCCAGCGCAACTTCATGCAGAGCTCGAACACTACCACTGTCAGGGCGAACAGCTCCAGGGTGGCGTGGACCTGCAACCGGAGGGCGTGCAGAGGTGTCATCGCCAGCCCAGCCCCCAGCCACCTCCTTCCGTGCCCCACTCCCGCCAGGACCCCCTCCCAACACACACCAGAGCTGCAAAAGCCTGGCCCTGGGTACCCAAAGACTTAGCCCTGGTAATGGAGCTTTTCCCAGAACAACTAAACATTAACTCGACATTCATGAAACGGACATGCTGACCCATGCAGTGAAAAATCTGGGAGGAGCCTGAAGTTTAAAAGAAAAAAGAGATACGATAAAATTTTATATATAGCCTTGTTCCAAGAAGCATTTCATATAATTTACAAAAGACCTATAAAGACGTTAAGGAAGCATGAATTAGGAGCTAGAAAACAAACACTGGCTGGGTGTGGTAGCCTGTAATCCCAGCACTCTGGGAGGCCGAGGTGGATCACTTGAGGCCAGGAGTTTGAGGCCAGCCTGAGCAAGAGCCAGACCCCATCTCTACTAAAAATAAAAAAATTAGCTGGGCATGGTGGCATGCGTCTGTAGTCCTAGCTACGTGGGAGGCTGAGGCAGGAGGATCACTTGAGCCCAGGAATTTGAGGCTGCAGTGAGCTATGATGATGCCACAGAGTGAGACACTGTCAAAGGGAAAAAAAAAAAAAGGGGAAAAAAATCCCAGATTTTAAGTGTAAATCCAATAGTCCAAGAGACGAGGGCTGTCAAGCAGATAGCAGCCCCCAAAATTCCTGTCCTCATTTGGACAGAAGGACAAGAACAGATGGAAGAGCCTCAAATGAGCCTCCCTCTACTCGGGCTGCTTGCAGCCTCTCCAGCGACCAGTCTTCTCGGCTGCGTCACTTGGCCCTTGACAAACAGGCTGTGACCAATAGGGAAGCCAGATGAAGACCCTGAATGAGCACCAAAGCCACCTGGCCCCTGCCCTCCTGGACTCACCGCCCAGCCGGGAAGTCAAGCGCTGCCAGGAAGCAGACGCAGGAAACGCCTGCTGGGCAGGCAGAGCCGCAGGGGCTGGCGGGGTGAGGGCTGGGGAGAGGGTTCTAGGAGGGGGCAGCATGGGGGTGGCGTGGAGAGAAAGGAACGCAGACCAGCTCAGAATGGCTGCAGCAGTCTCAGGCGTGCAGAGGGAGCCGTGGGAAGGCAAGCCATGCCAGAGACGGCCTCGGGGCCCAGGCTGGATGAGTTTTCCCGACTTGACAGGCAGAGCTTCCTTCCCTGCTTCCGTGCGTCCCACATGCTCCCCGAGAGGGGGACAAGGATGCCTCCACCCGAGGGATGATGGCTTGGCCTGGGTGTGAGGACAGGGGTGGGCTGGGGCTGCCCACGACACATCCCCCCACCTCCCATGAGTGACCACACCCGACTGCCTTCTCCTTGGAGGCTGGAGGTGGTGCAGTGTGACTGCCCATCAGGTGACCTGCCCACCTGTAGCCTCACTCCACCAACCCTGAGTGCGGCCAACGGGACCCTTCCCTTCCCTGGAATTCCCTGGTGGGCAGAATCCCAGAGAGACTAAGGACAGTCACTCCAGCGGGGACACCCAGGCAAGACGGTCGAGCCATTTCCGTTCCCCAGGCCTCTAGAGCCACCTCACGTCTCTCCGTCTTAAGTCTATCTGTGGTATCTGCCCTTCCAGAATGTTCTCTCTCATGGTTCTGTGACGCCCAGCCCCGCGGGCACTCACGTAAATGCCGAGCCGCAGCGCGGGGACGGCGGGGGCCTCGCACAGGGAGAGCAGCAGCAGCAGCAGGGCCGTGGACAGCTCCATCAGGTAGAAGAGGTGGTTGTGTGCAAAGAGGTAGGCCGCCAGCGCTTTGGCATCCTTGGGGTGGGTGAAGAACTTGTCGTTATTCTCGCCTTCCTGAAAAGACAAGCGCGACATGAGCACGTGCGCCGGGAGAGCGGCTGGCGCCACAGAGGTGCCGGAGGCAGGGAGGACAGGAAGGCCCTGGGCAAACAACGGAAGGTCCGGGCCACAGATGGAAGATGATGGAAAATCAAAATTACATTCCTCGGGAAACTGTGCGCTGGCCGAGTCCCACCCCTGCCCGCTAAGGGGGCTCAAGAGACCTGCTGCCTCTTAAAGACCACCTGGAGGAACCAAAGGATAAGAAGCTCCCGAGGGAGCCGGGCGTGATGCCAGCCTGTGGTCCCAGCTACCCCGGAGGCCGAGGCGAGACCAGGCGTCCCAGCCCAGCCTGGGCAACAGCGCTCTGAGGAGGCCGACACCAGTGCTTCCTCACGGGGCGACCAAGGCACCTGGGACGGGGTCTGACACACGGTAAGCTCACCACGGATACAGCCGTCATGATCATAGGTCATAGGAACGCCAGGAGAAAAAAAGAAGCCCAAAACCCTGCCTAGTCAGACCCTTCCAACCCATCGAGAGCGGCCCAGAGGGGTGTCGCTACCGTACTTTGACTTAACTCAGGATTTGCTACGTCTTACTTCTTCTTCCTTAATTGACAAGTAATAATTGTATGTATTTATGGGGTATGATATATTTATACATTATAGAATTGCTGAAATCAAGCTAATTAACATATCCGTCACCTCACATGCTTCTTTTTCTTTTGCAGTGGGAACATTTAAAATCTATTCTTTCAGCAATTTTGAAATATACCTTCCATGATTAACTACGGTCCCCGTGCAGCGCAGTGGATCTCAAAAACGTATTCCTCGTGTCCAAGGGGAACTCTGTGCCCTTAACCAACGTCTCCCCACCCCCCATTCCCCGCTCCGCCCCTGGCAACCGCCCTTCTCTCCACTGCGGGGCGTTCGACTGTCTTACACGCCACACGTGAGTGAGACCACGCAGTGCTCGTCCTCTGTGTCTGGCGTGTTTCACTCGGCACGAGGCCCTCCAGGTTCGTCCATGTTGTCGCGAATGACAGGATTTCCTTCTTTTGAAAGGCCGAATAGCAGTGTCCCACGGTATTTACACACTGTAGTTTCTTATCCCTTTACCCACTGACGGGCACCCGTTGTGGCTGACGTCGCAGTGAACACGGGTGCGCAGACATCTCCCTGCCACGCTGGTTATGTTTTCTTTGGACATACGCCCAGCAGTGGGGCTGCTGGCTCGTGTGCTGGCTCCATTTTTAATGATTTGAGGAATCTCTGCACTGTCTTCCATAATGGCTGTACAACTCACATTCCTGCCAACGGTGCACGAGGGGTCCCTTTTCTCCACGTCCTCACCGACACTTATCCTTCCTCTCTGATGACAGCTGTCCCAACAGGGATGAGGTGATGTCTCATGCCCACGTCCCACTTCTTCATTTACTTTGCCATTTCTCTCTAAGGTCCTAATCTCTGCACAACGATGGGCCTTGCCCTCGATCCCTTCACCCAACGGCAACTCGACAGGGCGGACCCTGATCGAGTGCTCACCAGGACCAGGCGCCGTGCCGGCCCTTCACCGGAGCCCTTCTCACCCATTTACTGCTGACAACCTCCCTTTCAGGCGGTACTTTGATTATCCACATTTGACGGAGGTGAGGAAGCCTCAGCAGGCGGAGTTTCAGTAGCGGCCTGGAGTGATGGAGCCGGACAGTCAGATTCCAGCTCCTCTGCTCTACATGACCATCTCGGCCTTCCGCTAATGATGTAAAAAATAAATGACATAGGCCTGGAGGTCCACCTAAAAACACAAGCAGATTGGGCGCGGTGGCTCACGCTTGTAATCCTAGCACTCTGGGAGGCCGAGGCGGGAGGATTGCTTTGAGTTGAGGAGTTCGAGACCAGCCTGAGCAAGAGCGAGACCCCGTCTCTACTAAAAATAGAAAAATTAGCGGGGCGTCATGGCACATGCCTGTAGTCCCAGCTACTCAGGAGGCTGAGGCAGGAGGATCACTTGGGTCCAGGTGTTTGAGGTTGCGGTGAGCTATGATGACGCCACAGCACTCTAGCCCAGGGGACAGAGTGAGATTCCATCTCAAAAAAGAAAACACAAGCAGATAACACGCTATGGCCATTGCTGACCCTCCCTGTTAGGGTGAGCCTTCTTGGGGAAGGTCTCCATTGCCTCCCTGGAGCTGTTGGGCACAGGGACAAGCAAGGGGCCTCCCACCTGAGCAGCTCTGCCCTTGGTCACCAGCAGCTAATGCTTAGTGACTTCGTGAGCACTTACCTGGTTCATGTTTTGCATGCATCCCCTTGCTTCAGTGCTTCTCAACTAGAGGTGATTTTGCAAAACTACCACCCCACCATTCCCCGACCTTTGGCAATGCCTGGAGACATTTCTGTTGTCACGTTGTCACGACGGGGGTGGGAGATGCTACTGCCATCTAGTGGTGGATTCCAGGGATGCTGCTCGACATCCTACAATGCACCGGATGCCCCCACTGCGCAGTATGATCCAGCCCAACAGGGCTGAGCTTGAGGCCTTGCCTCATTCATTCCTGCACAAACCCTCAGAGTGGAGACTGTTCCCACGGTCTCCATTTCCTAGAGGAGGAGAGTGGAAGAGCCAGCACGTAAGCCTGGATTCCCTCGCCCAGAGCCCTTCCGAAAGCATCCCGGCTGTCTCGGAATGCAGTCGAGACCTTCAATTATTCTGGGGTAAGACCACCCTTGCCATCCTCACAAACCCCTCTTCTGGGAAAGGCCTTGCCTGAGGTTTGCAGAGTAACTTTGAGCAAGTCACTTCCTTGAAGCTGGATACGTTGCTACCCTCATTAGCGAAAAATAAAGACAAGCCGCAGACCTGGCCGCAGACCCCACAGGGCAGGCCCAACAAAGGGAACAAACATCCCGGCAGTCAGACGGAGGGCAGGCTGGGCACGGCTGTGGTTCTCACTGCCACCTCCATGGTCATGGTGGGTGGGGAAGAGGACACACACACTGGCCTGGGAAACTTCTGGTTTAAATTACTAAAAAATGCAATTCTTGAGCAATTTCTTCCAACAAATAGCCAGGACTGGAGGCCTGGGTAGAAGAAATCATTGACATGTGAGGCTCAGACTTTAACTCCGGGTCTTGGAATTGTCCCAGAGGAGACCGGGGGCTGATGGAGGGACACGTTACTAACGTCACTGGATTCTGATCCAAACCCCCGAGGAAGACATGGGCCTTTTTTCCTGGCTGCTATTTATAAACTGGGTTAAGAAAAACAAGGAAGGCCAGCTGCAGGGATTTCAAGCCTTCGCTCTCTGCTCTGTAGGGTCGAAGTCCACACAGAAATGAGTCCTGGCGCAAAGGCGCGAGGACCGCTGAGCACACGGCTCCCGAGGGTGAGCGAGTTAGCAGGTAAATGTGGCAGGAGAGAAAACCGCGGGCACCAGTCACCCTCAAAACAGCGAGGGCCAATTACCCGAGCACACCGACAACCCGGTTCACGGCGGGCACTCGACGAAAGAACGTCTTGACGCCAGCTAAATCCATCTTCCAGAAACAGCCGTGAACCACTCCTCACAGGGATCTGGGTTCTGCTTTTATTTTTTAAAAATGATACTTTTTTAGTAAAATCATTCGAATAATACACAGAATTGGAAGGCAGTAGAAATTCCATCAGCCAGAGATAATCGCCTTTAACATGTAGAATACCTTTCCAGATATGTATGGATGTCTGTACGTACACACACATATATGCTGCTAAACGTACATACATTTTACATGAAAACGATCGTACTACACCTGCTGTTCTGTAACTAATTTTTTCCCACAACTACGTGACCCATTTTCATGTGGCTACGGATACACGTGGTCAGGTACAGAAATGATGCAACAATGTATAGGAGAAAGAACATAATTAGGAAGCTAGGTGGACAGTTGGAAACCAAGCGCTGCAACTTACTGGCTGGGTGGCCTTGGACATGACGTGGCCCACCTGAGTCTCAGTTGCCACATCTATAAAGTGAGAGATAATCACAAGGGCCTCAGAGGATTGTTATTAATACAAAGATTAGCAGGTGCCCCTTAAAGTCCCATACTTTCATTACCAGTGTCCTTACCCGCTCAGGGAAAGAAGGAATTATCAGGTTCCTGAGGTCCCCAACCATTCTGTTTCTGTGTTCTGACCCATCCCATGCTCCTACTCAACCTCAGAGAAGGTGACAAGCATAAGGTGACCCTGCTAGATCATTAACAGGTATGCCTGAGCTGGCTAAAATTGTCCTAAAACGTTTCCGTCACCTTCGCCTGAAACAAAATGTGCTTGTTTTAGGAGCACAGGTCTATGTGATACTGCAGGAATACACGAGAGACATACAGACACTGAACTATCATATAAATGTCAGAATTTTATTAAGCTTTTTTTTAATGACAAAACAAATACTTGCAGCAGAGAGCTGCTTCAGAGAAAAAACATTAGGAAAAATTATCATTCAAATGAATTTAAGAAAAACCTCATCCAAACCCTTACTCAATGCATACCAGAAACTGAAATCTTACAGAAACAAAAATGGCAGGATTAAGGCAAAAATGCCACGGCCAGTGGGGTTGGTAGTAAGAAGGCAATATCTCCCCTGGAGAGGGTTCCACCTGGAATAGCCTTACATCCAAATATATAAACAGCAAGTGCCTTAAAAAATGTTGATTCCATCTGGTAATTCTATTACTTAGCATCTTTCCTGGTAAAATTATCCTACATATGAGACAGAGAGAGACAGAGAGAGAGATGCATAGGTTGTCCTTACATTATCATTCGTAATAACGGAAAATATCCAAGATTATCAGGATATTTAAGTAAATTAGGATAATTTACCTGATGTAATTTAAAACCATTTAAATTATGTTTACAAAAGAGTTATAAGAACATGAGGAAAAAAAACTTACACTATAATACATGCTATAAAAAAGCAGACTACACAATTACAGATGCAACCTGACTTTCAAATTATTTTAGAATATATGTATATTATTCTTAAAATACATATTCTTTTTTTTAACCTGGAAGGAAATGATGACAGTGACTGCCTTGGGCGAACGTTTTTCATTTCCTCTTTATATCTAAATTTGTTGTACTGAGCATGTATCACTTTTATTAAAAAATATTTTTTCCAAAAAAAAGGAAAAATAAGCATGAAATAGCAAACATGGAGGCAGCAGCAAGTTAAACAGGAAAGAAAGGAAGAGCTCCAAGTTCCCCGCGCCATGCTGGCAAACTCCTGCTACGGACAGCGTTGAGCATACAAAGAATTCCCTTCTGAGAACCTGCCCCTGCAGAGGGCCCTGAGAAGAGGAGGGGGGCAGAGAAGGCCAAGGAGACAGACTTAGCGAACCTCAGGGGCAGGCACAGCCCCAAACTGGGGGTCAGAGGACAAGCTGGTGCTCTGTGAGCACAATCAAGTTAGCTCGTGAGACCGTCTTACGAACAAGAAGCTCACACACGAACAGAAGCGGGAACCTAGGCCAGAACTGAATTTCTGGGCAGCTAACAGAGCCCTGGCTGCCCTGCCCTGCTGACAGGTGCACAGAATGGCCAGGTGCCGAGTGGGAGACACTCACCTGGAGGTAGATCGCTGCCTCTTGATAATTCATCTCCCAGTTGGGTCTGGTGGGCGTGGAGGGGGAACTCTCGCCCGCGGAGCTCAGACTGGGAGTCTGGGAGTCGTGGATGGCATGGCTGCCCCCATCTGCATTGGAAGGAGAGAGAGAGTCACTTACAATCCAGGCTAAAGAGAATAAAGACGCCATTCAGCAGAAGGGAAGACTGGCAGTCACTTCATATGCTCATACGTACATCCCATTATCTTCGAGCCAACACTTGATCCCGTGTTCTAGTGACGGCAAGAACTAGTATGGCTGGTTAAAAATTTCTTTCTCTTGTTAAGTGAAAAAAAGCAAGTAAAAAAGGGCGCACACAGTCTGCTATCTTTTGTGTAAAGAACAGAGGAAACAAGAAAACACACATATATCTACTTATCTTTATAAAAAGAAACACAGGAAGGGAAGATGAGAACTCCATGAAACTGGTTATCTGTAAGGGGTGTGAGCAACAGGGTAGGAGTGTCACTCAAAGGGGGAGTGCTTTTTGTATACTTTGACTTTTGGAAGCATGTTAATATTCCACATGGTTAAAAATTAAAAATAACTGGATTTGTCCCGTGGTGCAGGGCCAGCTGTTGCTTTTCCCTGCTGACATCCACGGCCTCCTGTTCCAGCAGCGCCGCCCTGATCTGCCTTTGCAGAACCTCCCCTCCTCGCTCTCCATCCACATTATTTGGCCCTGGCCGACTCCACCCCTGGCTCCTCGGGCAGGTGACCCAGGCCTGGAAAACGAGCCCCTAGTCTCTCCTGGGCACAGGGATTTGGATCAGGCAGGGGTGCTGGCCCAAGCCTGGCGAGTGAGGGCTGAACTTGGAACTATTCCCGGACCCATTAGGAAGGAGGGCGCTCTTTCCCTGTTGTCACTGGCGGCTGCTTCTGCCATCACGTGGGAGAGCCTGCCTGGGAAGGAAGTCAACACAGAACAAAACAATAAGCAAGAGATAACACCCCCTGCATCCCTGGAACCCAGCTGTGCCCGAAATCCACCCCTTCACTTCCAAAATCTGAGCTGATAAAGATCCTATTTGCGTCTGTTGAGTTGGGTTTGTCACAATAATCAAGTGTCTCCACTGATACACGTGGTAAACGGTGACACCAAGAAATGACTCTCGACTTGTGAAGTTATTGGGAAGAAGTGAATCTAGGACGAAAGTCCGGCTCCCCATAATCCACGCTGTAATGATCCGCCTGCAGGAAGATAAAGAATGGAATCGACATCTGGACACTGAGATTTGCACCCCTGGCAGGGCGCAAACGTGTCAGGCCCACAACGCGCGGGACAGGGCAAGAAACTGGCAGGGCTCGCAGGGCTGTTGGGTCACAAAAGGTCCTCTGATCTTCAGCTGCCAGCACGGGCAACCGGGTCTGGCCATGTGCAAAGCGCTTCCCCGCCCATTTTGAAGAACAGTTTCATGGGGGTACAAGTGATGCGTTAAAAAACTGCACCTATCTGAAGTATGCGATTTGATTCTGACATGTGTGCATACCTGCGACACCATCGCTACAATCTAGGTGACGTGTCCAGCCTGCCCATCCCTCCCCAGGCGCCCACTGATCTGCTTTCTGTCACCATTAGAGGAATCTGCATCTCTTAGAAGTCTACACAAATGGAATCATACAGTGTGTGTTCTTTGGTCTGGCTTCTTTCACTCAGCATGATTATTTAAAAACTCATCCACACTGTGTTACGTATCAATAGTTCATTCTGTTTTACTGCCGAGTAGTGCCCCACTGGGCAGATGTACCGCGGTTTATCTATTCACCTGTTGATGAACAGTCAGGTTGTTTCCAGCCTTTGGCTATTTCAAAGGAAGCTGCTATGAACACTGATGTACAGGGCTCTGTGTGTGGACATAGCTTTTGTTTCTTTTGGGTAAGTACCTAGAGGTGAAATAGCTAAGATCCTATGTTTAACTTTTTAAGAAATTGCCGAACTATTTTCCAGAATGACTGTACCATCTTACATTTAAAAAAATGCTTCCACCTTATTCTCTTGGGGCTCTTGGAACCTAGCAACCATTTTGTAAGGAAGCCCAAGTAGCTGGTGGAGAGGCCCGTGGAGAAGAATCAAGGCTCCCAGGTCGCAGCCCAGCTGACAGGCAGCATCGACTTCTCAGCCACATACGTGAGCCATCCCCAAACAGATCCTCCAGCCCTAGTCGAGTGTCCAAACTGATGCTGCAAAGAGCAGGAGAAAAAGCCATCTCCACCAAGTCCTGGCCAAATGGCAAACCCAGGAGCGAAATAAATGTTGTTTTAAGGCTCTGTGTTTGGCAGTGATTTGTTGTTACACAGCAATAGGTAACTGATATGTATCTAAGTACTTTATACCTTTAATCCCTTTAACTCTTCCAACAACCCTGTGAAGCAGGTCATATTATTATTCCCAATTCAGACTTGAGGAAACTAAGGTGCAGAAAGGCTGAGTCACCCCCTGGGGTCCTGGGGCTTGTGAGCGGCAGGGCTGGGACACAAACGAGCCCCTAGTCAGTGGGCTACGTGCCTCTCAGGAATCAAACACTCGAAAAGGGGGACAGGTAGTTAGTGGAAAGGGACCAAACCCACACAGTGGCTCTATCGCTAGAGTGGTCACAAGTAGGATGTGGGACATCCGCACACAATTTGAATGCGATAATTCTGACTCTCCTCTGCCCGGTGCCAACAGAGCAGCATTCCCTGCTCTGATCCCAGTGCCCGTCGCTGAACGAACTGAGCCCTCCAGGCAGAGACAGGAGAAGGTCAAGCCACCTTCCTCAATCCGCTCGCATGGACCAGGGAAGCGTGAGCCAAAACGTGGCTCCCAAGTAGGACAAGCCACAGGCGGCCGGCTGGATGGGGCTACATCCTCATGTGCCTGTGCCCCGTCCTCCGCGACCTTCATGCCCCCGCGGGAGCCAGCACCGGCGACACAGCAGAGTCCCAGGTAAAATAAGTAACAGTGACGGAGCAGGGTAGGCTGCGGCAAGCGGGCACAGATGGCAGCAGCCATCAGCGTCACTTTCCCAGCCTGCGCTGGACATGAGTGTCTACCTGAGCCGCTGCCGTGGAGACCCCCGCCAGAGCCTCCCCAGCCCTTCCTCTCACACGGGAGTCTCGGCGCATTGACCGGGCTTCCCTCTCGCGCCCAGCTCTCGGCCCGCCCCTGGTGGGGAGAGGACACCTGGTCCTCATCGACGGCTCCCTTGTCCCTCACCACGCGCACAGCTACACCCCTGTGCCTGGATGGCGTCACGTGTCCTACGGCGCAGGCTGCTCCTTGCTAACATGCCGCGCTCACACTCCCAGCGATGGGTTTTTGCTGGGAGCAGGTAACTCTTGGTATCTCTAAGTGTCCTGGTTTGGGTGAAGCACAGTCCCTCTTCCCTGGTACACAGCCCCCTCAAAGCCACAAACAACAGCTCCATTCTGCTGAAATCCACAAGGACGGCCGGGACAGGAGGACCAGGCTCCTGGCTGCCTTGGGAGGACGGTCCTCAGAGCCCCAGACCTTTGACAACCACTTACTCTCCACTCCTCGGGGCCTAAGGCGCCAGATCTGGGAGGGTCTCCGCTCTCCCACCCATCTCTCCTGCCCACTTTCGTGGGGCCTCCTGTCTCTCGCCCGAAAGGCTGCCGCAGCCTTCAGACTGCCTCTCGCGGTCCGGACCCTTCCCAACTACCCGACCCAGGCACCTTATTGCAGGGTGAATTCTGTAAAGACTAAGTGTGACTGTGTCACTCTGCTGCTTAAAATCCCTCACTGTCCTGCCCACAGAAAAAGACTCAGATTCCTTGGAACAGCAAGCAAGGGCAGAATCCAGCTCCTGCTCCATCTCTCTCTGTTCCCCCTACTCCTGCTCCAAACTCCCAACAGCAGGCGGGCTTCGCCCTGGGGCTCAGGGGCCAACTCCAGAGGGCAGCCGGTGGCCACAGAGCACTTAAGGACATGGGGAGCCTTAGGTAAAATGGCCTTGTTCATCTGCTCTTTGTCGGTGGGCATTGCCTGGGGTGGAGGGCAGCTCCCAGGTGCTGGGCCTTGGGCGGGGACTGCAGGGAGGTACCTGGACAGCCCTTGCCCTCCGGGAGCGCCTGTCCCTAGAGGCAGTGAGTGCCCGCCCTCCCCCATCCTGCCACCATGGGGCCTCCAAAAGGTGTTTCAACAGAGCAGAGGTTTAGCGGGTGAGTGGGGAGCTATGTTTACAGGTACATGCGGACTTCGAGGCATGACACAGATCCTAGAGACCACTTAATTCAGCGCCTGCCTTTGAGAGATGGGGAAACTGAGGGCCGGGGGGGTGGTGATGTGCCCCGCGTAATGAGGCCAGTCGGTCACAGAGCAGGTCCAGCACGCAGGCCTCCGGGATCACCCATTTATCACTCATCTCTCACCAGAGAAACGTGAGGGTGGCTCTGCTGCCCCACTGTCTGCCGCGGTGTCACCCTTGGCCACTGTCTGCTCTGACTGACGGCACGCAGCTGTGAGACAGCTTTAGTGGCTGTGACCCCGCATCAAGGAGGCTGAGCGACCGGTCTGTGCACAGACCATCCCCCCCGTTGGCCGGAGCTCTTGGGATGCACCCCGGAGGCCACGAGTGACTGGCGGACAGGCAAAAGGTCTGGGTGGGTGACAGAGTCTATTTCCCTTGCCCTACAAATGCTGAACGGAACGGCTGCATCAACAGAGAATGACGGGGCGGGGGGGCCTCAGGAACCAGGAGGCTCAGCCCCTCCCGGGATTATGCCGAGTGGCCCCAGATACCAGCTGCACCTGGACCACAAGATCTCGCTTCTCACCGCTCCTCCCCGACACCATGGCCTGAGCCATCCCTCCCTGGACGGGCGCAACCCCTTCTGCCTCCCTGCCCCTCCCTCCTGGTCAGAGAACCCTCGGTATGTGCATGTGCTCGTAAGTAAACTTTCTATAATAGTTTGGTGTAACCGTCATCTTCCAGAAAACTAAGCCAGATGGTATCACTCCTCTGCCCCAAACACGCACAGCCTCTCCTGGATTAAAAGGTCACGTGGAACCCGCCCCACGACCTCTCTGTGTCATCTCGTCCGACTCGCCCCCACAATGACCTCCTTGTTATTCTGGAACACACCCGGA